GTTTTTATTAGTTGATATATCTTTTTAATAAAAAGTAGATAGCTCCTAAAAACTGCACAAATAACGACTAGCGCGACATTTTGCTCAACCTGCGCCTTAATCAATTCAAGGAAGATTTTGGCGGAAACTCCACCGCCATTGGATTGGCGTTCCTCTTTTTTCGTTTTAGTAATGGTTTGAAGTGGACTTAAACTGGTGTGATGGTGGTGTATTAAATAAGAGTGATCGTTACAGAACGTAACCAGTTATTGAAACTATCTATTTATACAATAACGGGTAGCGGGTTATTGCAGTCCAACGAAAATTCCTATTACAGTAGACGTTTTACTTAGTAACATGATTCCGTTTCGATTGCTTGTGCATTTGACCTAACTTCGGATAAATGTGATATTAGAAATGAGAAAGTAAGTGTGCATGTTTTTTTTATAGGATAAGGGTGACAAACGAGCGCACAGTCCACCTGATGGTAAGTAGTTGCTGTGGCCCATAAGCATCCACATCTATCTTCGATTACGAATCAAAATGCAGATGCGTTGTCACCCGTGAGGACTAAGATGGAATGCCTCGTTTTCAGTCAAAAGGGTCTCCGGTTCTCTACACTCACTATACGAAACACAGCAGCGTTAAGCTGCTATTTTACGCTGGTATTCTGTGAGAGCGTGGTCCTTCCTCGGTCGAGCCGACCCATTCGTGCTACAGCCATAATATAGCTGTAGAATGGCTCTACAACGTATAAAATATGTGTGTTACATTTATATAAAAAATATTTTCGAATTGCTTGAATTTGCGTGGTCTTGTCCCACTTGACCCAGTCTAAATTCGTCTTGTGTTTGATGAATGATGACACGGTTTGTTTTTATTATTAATATATTAGATTTTGTTTTGTACAACAATAATAATATTTGTAGTAAGATAAGAAGAGAATACAATTACAATACAATTGCATATAATATGTGTTATTTGAATCTAACTTAAGTATTGATTGTTACTGAATTAACTCGTCACCGGCCATGGCCTGGATAAAACATGAAGGAAATTTGATTGCAATATAAATCTTCTTAACACTAAAATCTCGATAACAGTAATCTTAACGAAACGGGAACACCAAACAGACTAATCAAGCTTTCTCGTGAAACGGCCATAGTTTCATTCGCCACGTTTTTAAACACGTCGTGAAACACTCTATTGAAGCCGCTATTAAAATAGAGTGTTTCAAAACCCTCTATTAAAATGTTTTACATAAAAATAAGTGTTTCAAAAGTCGCTTCAATATTCGATAGATAGTTTTTTTTATAGGATAGGGTGACAAACGAGCACACAAACCACCTGATGGTAAGTGGTTGCTGTGGCCCATAGACATCTACATTTATCCTCGCTTGCGAATCAAAATGCAGATGCGTTGTCACCCGTGAGGACTAAGATGGAATGCCTCTTTTCCAGTAAAAAGGGTCTCCGGTTCTCTACTCTCACCATACGCAACACAGCAGCGTTAAGCTGCTATTTGACGCTGGTATTCTGTGAGAGCGTGGTCCTTCCCCGATCAAGCCGACCCACAACTATACTACTAATATAGCTGCAGCATGGCTCTACCACGTTTCGTTTCGTTACTCAAAAAAGACGCTAATACCCACCGCTATAAATGTCTGCGTATGTTAACTATTAGCGGAAACGATTCAACAAGTGTTTCGATGGTCTCAGGTTTATCCACTTAGGAGACTTGACATACTCATCAGCTATCCACTGGGTTAAACTGTCGCCAAAATCTTACAAGAACTTTGTAATGTGACTGTGACACATCAGCTAATGAAACACTGACTGATTTTTCTGCCACCAGGGCGGCGCCACTTAAAGGTAAGGTGTATAATATTTGACAGTTTTCATAGCGAGGAAAGTAATTTGTTCGAGGAATGAATTTTATATTAATTAGATTAAAAATAAATGAAACAAACCACAGATTTTCCGAAAAGTAGGAAAAATATAAAAGAGCTAAAATATACAACAAATTAAAGAGCTAACTACTGTTTACTGTTTTGTGTATTAATATAATAATCTAGAAAATGATAAACTTTTATTTAAATGACATTTTGTAACAGAAACTTCACCATATGAGTAAAAAAATAGTAGAGAGGCAAAGCTTCTAAGGGGCGGTCAAAATTTTTATCTATTTTGGTAGGGTTGGCACAGGAGGATAAAACTAAATAAACAAAACGTTTATGAGCATTTTAATAGATACTTAAGATATAATATGTTTTTATAAGCTACGTATTCTAAATGGTTTACTTTTATAATTATTGTTCTTCAACAATTAGTTACGGTTTTTAATTAAATGGTAAATTCTAAATTTAATGTAAAGATTTTTTTTTAAACTCTATTGGAATGCACTTGCATTTCATAATAAATATAAAATCCTGCACACTTTTTAATATTTCACTACCAATATTTACAATTTTCCTTTCGAAGTCAAAATATTCGCGAAATTTTTGCTCAAGTAGTTCAAAATACCCGACTGAACACTATCTTTGTTAAAATCCTTGTAATGGCTGAAAAAAAAATCTTCTCCCATATTTATTGGTTGTACAGATCTATTAACGTACTATTTTATTTTCTCATATTTGTGGTGTTCGAGACAACATTTTCAATACAAATACACAGACTTAACCATTTTTCTGGTAATTCAAATAGATAATCATTTGTTCCTACTATTAACACTGGGGCAGTAATATTCTAAGGTTGCGGTGATGATGTATTAAAATATGACCATCGTCTGGTTTCATAAGTAACATATCGAAATCGTATTCACAATTAGTATTTTGAGATTTCCGTACGATATTGGTTATAAACATCTTATTGAAGGCAATACTAGCTAGACGACATGTTGGTTCCTGGCAGTTACCACGAGCCGCCAGTGCGTGAGCACTGCTCGTGGTAACTGCCAGGAGACGCGCCTCAAGCTTGTAGTACGAGGGTGCGTTTTTAAGTTCGCGGAATGGGGTGTAAGGAGTGGAAATAAAAATCCAAATTTATTTTTCCTTTTCAATATATTCACCTGTTACCCTAATACATTTTTCGGATCTTTCAATTAACTTATATATACGCCCAAAAAAGATTTGTCTTTGTCTAAAAAATACACCGAAACTGCTTTTTTCACTTCTTCATCACTTAAAAACCTTTTCCTACGAAGTTCTTTTTTTAAGTTTGGAAATAGATAATAATCACTGGGGCCAGGTCAGGACTATAAAGTGGTGGGTGTGGCAAAATTTTGAAGCCCACCTTCTGCAGGTGTGAACAGGCGCGTTGTCGTGCAGAAGAAGGATTCCTTTGGCCAATTTTCCCCTTCTTTTCTTCTTTATGGCTTCCTTCAATTTTTTTTATAGGATAAGGGTGACAAACGAGCACACAGTCCACCTGATGGTAAGTGGTTACTGCGGCCCATAGACATCTACATCTATCCTCTATTACAAATCAAAATGTAGATGCGTTGTCACCCGTGAGGACTAAGATGGAATGCCTCATTTCCAGTAAAAAGGGCCTCCGGCCACCTGCACTCACCAAGCGAAACGCAGAGGTAAACCTCTACTTCATGCTGGTTTTCTGTGAGGTCGTGGTACCACCCCGGTTCGAGCCAGCCCATCCGTGCGGCAGCAAAAGCTGCCGCGTGGCTCTACCACTGTTAATAAATTTCTAACACTGTTAATTGTTCTAGGATTGAAGCGTAGTAATTTCTAGTTATCGAGACACCGTTATCTTTATAATTAATCAATAGGATTCTTTCTGAGTCCCAAAAGACTGTCGCTATGATTTTCCCAGCCGATTGTGTCACCTTAAATTTCTTGGGTGGTGGTGTGTCTTTTTTGTGCCACTGCATAATGTCCTGTTTGGACTCAGGTTCACAATGGTGAACCCAAGTTTCGTTGCCAGTAACAATTCGAGGCAACACTTCATCTTTGTTTTCCATACAGAGGTCCAAATATGCACGAGAACACACCACGCGCTGTTGCTTTGAGAGTAAACGGATGACATCTGTTCCAGTATAGTCTGAATTGATTTTCCGCGCTTGGCCAGGAACTTTATATCGGCACGGAACTCGATTTTCTCCATATTTTACAACTTTTTTCCGATTGACTTGTTTGGTTGACGATAACTCAAAGACTAATGATCTAATTGCAATAAAACCTGGTATTTATACTAATAATGAGTTGCTCAATGAGGGCTAATAATTTTCTGCTCTCCAGATGTCGCTAGTTGACACTGAGGCAAAGTTTTTTGTTACACTACTTTGTTACACACGTTTTAATAAAAGTTTATCAGTTTTTAGACTAATATATTAATACACAAAACAATGCTTCAGTGGTTTTGCTCTTTCATTTTTTGCACATTTTTAACCTTTTTTAAGTTTTCTACTTTTATGAATTTCTGTGGTTGATTTATTTATTTTTAATCTTATTAATATAAAAAATAGCTAATAGTACAGAAAGAAACATCAACCTTTACATTTTTCGAACAAATTAACTTCTCCATTATGAAATCTGTCAAATATTATACCTCACTTTTAAGTGGCGCCTCCCTGGTGGCAGAAAAAGTCGTGGATGCCCTCATTAGCACTCAGCAGCATTCAGCGGCGTCCCCAGTTATATACCTACCTACCCATTTCGCGAACTTAAAAACGCACCCTCGTAGTGTACCTATCACAACGCCGTTGTATGAAGTTTTGTCTCTGTACGGTATGATTTCTTTACTCATATGAGTTCAACTCAGTGTCTACTAGCGGTGAGCGAAATATTATTAGCCCACGTTATGAAATATTTTGTGAACAAAATATAAATCAGAATAGGCTGTATAGTCTAAGACCTTTGCCTGCCTTTGAGTTCAGTTCAATTTTCAAAATATAACGGCAGAAATACCGGGCTGTTGAGAAGAGAACAAAACAAAATATCGGTTTGAATAGTAAAATAAACAAAGCTTACCATGAAAATACATTAAAGCTTAAATACAGGAGAAACATGGAACCTTCGAAGGAAGCGATTGCAGTTCGTATCACACGACTAAACCGTCAGATAATAGGAAAAGTCACTAGTGGTCTAAATAAATTGAACAAAAAGATAGACCGTGAAACTTTGTTGGATGCTCTAACAGTATTGTATGATGAGTGCAATGATGACCCGGTTAAGAAATGTGATGAACTCGTACGAGCCTTTGTGGATAAGTGTACGTTCTTATTTTTTATACGTGGTCTTTTACCTGTCAAATTCCTAACATGAACATCTTCCCAATGGAAGCATTAAAAACTCGTTTCATAATATTATCTTATAAACAGTAACATTTAACAACTTTTGATCAGTTGCTACTAACAACTTTTATTAGTTGGATAGGATGTTTGGATTCATGGCTAGTTTCTATTATGTTGTATTTTAGGTACTGTAAATAGCCATAAGAAAAATTACTTGAACTATTTGATATACCAATAGCCACTATGATAACCACTATGGGGGAATCTATGTTCAACAGTGGACTATTATAGGCTGTGATGGAACAGTTTTTAGTTTAAAGTTTAAGCTAACAAGTTTAAATTTGGATATTTTATATTTAACACTTGCTTTTACCCGTAAAAAATTTTTTGATATCTTTCATAGCATAAGAGATAATGATCATAAACAATTGTTTTATAAATTGTTTTATTTAAAAAAAAATAATTTGCATGCTTGCATTGATTTATGTTGGCTTTGGCTGGCTCTATATTGGTGAAGTTTCATCACAATGGGTTCTGCCATTCCAAAGATTAGTCTGGACAGACAGATACACAAATTTTTAAAGTGTTATTATTCATGTCTTAATAGCATGCAAATAACCACCTTTATAAAAGCCAATTACTTCGATATTACAGACAGACACTCCATTTTAATTTATATGTTAAGATTTGATACATTATTTTGTAAAGTTGTAGACTGCAGATGGTATGTGGACAATGCCACAGTTTAGAATAACAATAGAAACACAATATATTTGTTCCAAAGCATATTATAGATATTATGTTCTCAAAACTAATGTCAAGTTTATGCATAATTATGATACTAAAAAAAAATTAAAAAAAATTGTATGGTGATGATTACATCATATACATAAAAGTAATGAGTACACTACTACATATTGACGCTGGAAAAGAAAAATTATCCAAGCGACATCAGACTACCTTTACAGTAGAGCTGTTAAAATGTCTAATATTTAGGTTTTGTCTCAACTACCACATGTTTTTTATTTTGGTAACGCAACTTTTACTCTGATATAAATTCTAAACAAAGATATATATTACATTTTTACCGTACATTCCGTTATCAAAGCTTGTCGGTTAGTCAATTTTTCCCGTCTCTACTTTTAGGGAAAATTTTACTAAGCGACACTAACTTTAAAACTAAGCATTATTTTTAATAGTTACGTATACTATAATGTAGATAAAAAATAAGCAAATAAATTTCTAAGAACTAGGCTTATTGGACCATTACAAGAATTTACACAATTTTTTTTCTGAAAATTAAAACTTTTAACAGCTCTACTGTAAAGGTAGTCTGATGTCGCTTGGATAATTTTTCCTTTCCAGCGTCGATATTATATATAATGACTACACTAAAATTATTTCTATATTCCAGATCGCAGTACACTGGCGGAGTTGCGTTGTGCCCGTGTTTGCTATTCTGATTTTGAAATACTACAAACTATTGGGAGGGGTCATTTTGGTGAAGTTCATGTAAGGATTACTTGTCTTTTTATTTATTTTTTTAACTTTGATGAGCCTGTGATTGATTATTATCCCACTTGATGTAAGTGGTGATGTAGCCAAAAATGTAGTTGGGCCTCCTCGGTCATTTTAAAGATAGCTCTGTACTAGTTCATTTCAGTCAGTGACCTGCTTTATTATATTAGCTCAATTCCATTGTTAGTACAACTGAACAGCTTAAACTGTTTCTATTGGTATGGAATGGTTATCTCAGTCGGTCCATATCTCCTCAAGTTGTAATGTTGTTTGATCACTCGTACACAAACACTTGATAATATCTTGGTCAGAATAAAAGACGAAAGCAAATTAGTGTTGAAAAAACAATTTTGCGCTTTTGTCACATATCCATAGCATGTGAAAATAAAAAGCATCGAAGGATGCAGTGAGTATTAAAACAATGATAAACAGCACATAAAACACTCCTCAATAGTTGATATAATATAACTTCAACTTTATAAAAAATTTACGTGATCGTAAGTGCCGAAAGTTAGTCTAGCAAATGTTTGTTTGTTTTTATTTATTAAGTATAATAAATATACTATTCTGAGAACACAGCGAGTCCTGCATCTTTTCGGATCATAAACTAAAATAGATGTTATTGCATTGATATACCTAACATGTATCTTTCTTTAATGTCTAATTCCAACAGATTCGGTCAATGGTAGCATTATAGGTCATCTCTCTTCGTCAATGGTAGCATTTATACGTCGACTCTTGTTCGAATGACATACTCGCCGACTCTCTCGCTCTCGTACGCGCGGTCTAGCGTCTTGCGAGTGAAGGTGTACGAAAAGAGTTATTAGACCGTTTAACAATCAGCATTCGGAAACGTTTCTTTTAGTACAGTGCTAAGATACGTTTCTTATTCGTTAATCGTTCGCAAACTACACAAAGCTACGAAGATAGTAAAATGCACTGATTTACCTTAACAAAGGTATTCACTCTTATCTTAAAAATGTCCACTATTGTAATCTGATTGAACAACACATGCTGCCTCCTGTAGCCAAAATAGCAAAGTGCAAGTTTTGTTAGATTTTTCAAATGGTTAATTTAACGCCAAAAATGTGTTCTAAATGTTTGATTAGGTTAATTTCATCGAAAACCATAAATGATTGTTACAGATGGTACGGGAGAAAGAAACCAGTGATGTGTATGCATTGAAGACAATGCGTAAAGAGCAAGCTCGTAAGCGAGTGGCGAGTGGAGCAGAAGACGAAAGGGACGTGTTAGCGAACGCCAATGGTCCTTGGATACCAAAACTGCAATATGCATTTCAGGTTTGCTTTCATTTTAGGCATATAAAACATTTTTATTTTTGTGTGAGAGCTATAAAGGCCTTTCAAGATCAGTATCATTGAGACCAACCAGTATGATTTATTATGATTGCTGCTATGGCATTAGTTTGCCGCTAAGAACTACATAAGAGGTTGGGGAAAAAGTTTCTTCGTATTTTGTTTATATGAAATTGAAGAAAATGATCTTTGGTTGTACTGTTTGTATCTGGCTGGTTTTAAGATCAATGCATATACGTTATGAAAGAGAAAAACAAAAAGTACAAAAAACTTTCCTGCCATTTTCACTTGATTTTCTGTCCACCAAAATGAGTGAATATAACAAAGAAATTCTATACATTCTGAAGCTATCTTACAAGAAAGGGCGACTCAAACCGCAAAAAAGTTTATGGACCTAATGCAGTGTCAGTAAGAGTAACACAAAGTTGGCTCAAGCATTTTCAGTCCGGGAATTTTGATGTCAAAGATGCAGCTCGCCCTTATACGGATAAAGTTGATGCTATTATTGAAAAAGTAGAGAAAGATCGACATATTAGTAGTTACGACATAGCCAAGGAATTGAGGTTTGACCACAAAACAGTTTTGACCCATTTGAAAAAGTCCGGCTATACAATAACGCTCGATATTTGGATACCACACAAGCTCACTGAAAGAAACCTAATGAATCGTGTACTCATTTGCGATTATCTATTGAAATTTTTGAAAAGATAGATCACTAGTGATGAAAAGTGGATCACTTACAACAAGAATGTGCTAAAAAGATCAAGATCAAAGGGTAGTCAAGCTCCACAGACAGTAGCGAAACCCAGATTAACATGCAATAAGGTGATGCTGTGTGTATGGTGGGATTGGAAGGGCATCATTTATTATGAGCTTTTACAGGCAGACAAAACCATTGATTCAAATCTCTACTACCAACAACTAATGAGACTCAAGCAAAAAATTTGAAAGGGGTGGTCTTTCATCATGATAATGCCATAACACACATCTTTGGCCACTCAGCAAAAATTGAGAAAGCTTGCATCCACCATATAGTTTGACCTTGCATCATTAGATTTTCACTTATTTCAGTCTCTTCAGAATTCTTTGGGTAGTGTTAGGTTAACATCAAGAGAGGACTGTGGCATTTTTTGATCAATAATAGATTTCTACAGCAACGGGATTATGTCACTCCTACAAGATGACAACAAGTTATCTAACAAAATGGCACATATATATCATAATTATGTAATTAAACTATGAAAAAATTATCTTGAATTTGATATGAGAAAACTTTTCCCCAACCTTATATTTAATGAATTGCAGGAGTTGCTTAACCATGACCATTTTGTCTTCTTCTGGGCTTAGTAAGAAGTTCCCCATATGAATGAAGTTGGGTTGTGTTCCTTAAATTCCAAAACCTACCTTGAGGCCTATGTTCATCCCTTTGGTATCAGTATTAAAATAAGTATAATAAGGTTATCTGTCAACGTCAGCGCCGTGTAATTGCGGCGAGAATCCCTACCTTACCCCATATTATTCATTGGGTGTCTCAAGATGTGATAGATGATATATGTGTCATTATTATTCCAGTGCTGCAGTGAACCTTTTGTAAAGCTAGATGGCTTGCAGAATGTTAAGACTGCAGACAATATCTGCTCGGGAGCGAATGAATGGGGTACTTGAGTATGATGACGAAGTTTTTGAAATTGTAGTTTCCGAAGATTGTTGGTTGCCGTGTTCATATCACGTCGGGGTCACCACTGTGGCGGGTGGAAGGAAAAGGGGAGATCTCCCGCCGGGCAAGGTGTTCTGCCCGGGGAGCGGCCAGCGCTCCGATTGGTAGTTCGGAGCTATTCTATATATGCTGCTTTAGTTTCGGAACTTTGATAGCGCGATTTAGGCTTCGATGTGTTTCGCTTGTGGCGCGACGACAGCGCCGCCACACGTACATGCCAATGTGCGAGGCCATCAGTAAATGCGGCACGTACGGTGTGTACTGTGCTGATAAATGTGCGTTTACCTTTATATTAATATTCTTAATACAACTATTATGTAGGGGGATGAGTCGCTCGCGTCCGTAGGCTTCGACCACCTAATCCTAGGCCCACCCTACACGTGTCCCCCGGGTGGTGCTAAACGAGCGACAAAGCCGAAACGACAGACTCGGCTCCTCGCCGTATGGTAGCGGCATAAAATCTACCACCACTTAGTTCGCACCATGAGCCAAGAAGGAAAAGAAATGGCCCCGAGTTCCCGGCGCCCCTTTAATGGGGCAGGGGTGCGAAGAATCTCCGGGAGAAAAACCGGCGACGAGGTTCGCCACCCGTCACGTCCTGTCTCCCGGGGAGGCGAAAAGTGGATTGCGGAGGCCCGTCTGGCCACGCTGAATGTATGTGTAGCAATGAATGATAAGATGGATGAAGTATGCGAAATGATGAATGATAGAGGAATAGATGTGTTATGTGTAAACGAGACGAAACGAAAGGGAAGAGATGTCACTGCACATGGCATGTATACCGCTTACTGGTCTGGAGTAGACGAGACCGAGCGGGCATGCCAAGGAGTCGGTGTCATCCTTTCAGAAAGAATGGGTCAATGCGTGAAAGAGTATGAATGTGTTAGCCCAAGGCTGCTGTGGATGCGAATGAAAGTGGGCTTAAAGAAGTTGTTTGTGCTAGGGGTGTACGCCCCAAATATGTCTAAGCCCACTTATATCCGAGAGCAGTTTTGGGACATGGTAAGGCTGGTGTTGATGAAATGTAAGAAAAATGAAAATATTATTATGTTAGGAGATTTTAATGGAAGGGTTGGGGTGAAGAGGTCTGGTTATGAAAGGATATTAGGAACGTTTGGCGATGAAAGAATAAATGAGAATGGTGAAGACCTCCTCACCGTATGTGTGGAAAAGAATCTTTTTGTGGCGAACACTTTCTTTCGCCATAAGAGGATTCACATGTATACATGGGAAAGAGGGGATGATAGAAGCATGATAGATTTTATAATTGTGGATGAAAGAATGAGGAGCGCAGTGGTAGATACAAGGGTTTACCGGGGGTCCAACGTAGGGACGGATCATTACTTGGTCTTATGTCGAATTAATGGTCTATTCAGACGTTGGCGGCATCGGACATCGGTGTCTACCACTGCGTTACAGCGTATAAGAATAGAGAGGTTACAAGATGAAGGTGTGAAAGAGAAGTATAAATGCAGATTGAGGGAAAATATAAGTGGGTTGAATGAATTATGTATGAATGATTTAGAATTGAAGAATGTATGGAATAATATTAAGAAAGTTTTGGTGGATGCAGCCACCGAAGTATGCGGTGTAAGTAAGAGAACGAATGAAAGGAAAAGTAATACGTTGTGGTGGGATGATGAGGTACGGATGGAAGTTGAAGCAAAGAAGAGAGCATGGCTAGATTTACTAGCAACTAAAGCTGGTAATTCTGGCGGTATGAATGATGAGATTGAAAGAAAAAAGGCAGACTTTAGACGTATAAATAAGAGAGTAAAAGAAGTTGTTGAAAGGAAAAAGCAAGAAAGGATAGATAAGAATGATAGAAGGATATCTGATAACTTCCAGGCAAATATTAAAATGTTCTGGAAACTCGTAAGAACTGCCAGGGGAAATTCAAAACAGCCTAGAATAAATGCTATACGAGACGAGAATGGCTGCATGCTGAATGATGAAGTTTCGAATTTAAAGAGATGGAAGGAATACTTTGAAAGCGTGTTTAAGAGTGAAGAGTCGTCTGGAATAAGTGAAATAGAAATTCCGGAAGAAGTGGAGAGAGGTAGGGAGATAAGTGTAGATGAAATAATGAAAGCAATGAAAAGCATGAAAGCAGGTAAGGCAGCCGGATATGATAGAGTATCACTCGAAATGCTGAGGGCTGGTGAGGGTGTGGTTACAGGCCTGCTGCACACCTTGTTTAATTTGTGTTGGGAACTGAAACGGGTACCGGAAGACTGGTGCAAAGCCGTTATAGTCCCAATATATAAGGGAAAGGGGTCGCAGCAGGACTGTAAAAACTACCGTGGTATCAGCTTGCTTAGCATTGTGGGTAAACTGTATGCTAAGGTGTTAATTGAAAGAGTTATGGAAGAAACTGATGGAAAAATTTGGGATGTGCAAGCTGGATTTAGAAAGGGGATGGGGTGTACGGATCAAGTCTTTTCCATGCGCATGATAGCGGAGAAGTTTTTGGCTAAAAACCAGAAAGTTTTTTGTGCGTTCATGGACTTGGAAAAGGCTTATGACAGAGTGGACAGGAATGTGTTATGGCAAACACTGAACTCATTTGGGTTGAGCGCTGGCTTGATACAGGCATTAAGATCTCTTTATAGGGACTCTAGTGCTTGTGTCAGGATCAACGGGGTCTACTCGGACTGGTTTGGCATTCATAAAGGTGTCAGACAGGGATGTGTGGCTTCCCCGTGGCTGTTTAACTTATTTATGGACAGTTGTTTGCAAACTTTGAAAGTTGAAGAATGTGGGTTGAGAATGGGTGAGTCAACCGTCAAATGCCTTTTGTACGCCGATGATCAAGTCATATTTGCATCGTCGGCGGCCGAGTTGCAAATGATGATTACTTTAATGAATTGGTCATTGAAAGAAAGGGGTATGAAAGTGAACGCAAGTAAGACGAAAGTGATGGTTTTTGAAAGAGAAGAAAGTAAAACTTTATGTGAAATAAGAATAGAAGGGGAGATGATTGAGCAAGTGGATGAGTTTGTATATTTGGGATGTTTATTTAGCAGGGATGGTAGATATGATAAGGATATAGAACGACGAGTGAACGCAGGAAATAGAGTGAATGGGGCTCTACACGCTATTATGAGGAGTCAGAATGTGTCAACTAAGGCACGTATGGCAATTCATAATGCTGTGTTAGTCCCTACTTTAATGTATGGTAGTGAAAGTTGGGTCTGGCAGAAGAAGCATGAGAGTAGAATAAATGCTGTAGAAATGCGTTCCTTAAGGAGTATGCTAGGGCTGAATCTGAATGACAGGGTGAGAAATAGTGTGATAAGAGAAAAGTGTGGTTTGCAAGATGACGTTGTGACAAGGATTAAGAAAGGAATGCTTCGGTGGTTTGGTCATGTAGAAAGAATGAACGAGGAAAGAGTGACAAAGCAAATTTATGTTGCGGAAGTGAACGGCAGGGTCGAGAAGGGACGCCCTAGACGAAGGTTTATCGACCAAATCGGCGATACATTAAAAATGGGCCAGATTAGGAGTACCCTTAACCGACGAGCGTGTATGCGTAGATATATGGATGTAAAAGAGGCGAGAGAGGTGTGTCAGGATCGCGCCAAATGGAAGTCCGTAGTCTCTGCCTACCCCTCTGGGTGACAGGCGTGAGTGTTTATGTATGTATGTAACTATTATGTTGTATTATATGAAAAAGATATATGTTTTGTGTGGGCATTAACCTTCTATTATTTTAGCCCAACAAACAAACTTAAATTGTAAAACGATTATAAATAGCAACTTCCTTAAATAGAGAATAAAATAAGTGTTTGTGGATTATGCTTTGAAATTTCGCATGTCTTACAATAGATAATGCTATTAATTATCCTATTTAAATTCTGTTACAGGACAGTAGTAACCTCTATCTAGTCATGGAGCTATGCAACGGTGGTGATTTAGCAGGTTTGATGGCGCGACGCAACCACCCACTGTCGGAACGAGATGCAGCTTTTTATGTAGCTGAAGTGGCACATGCACTAAAAACGATTCATGCTATGGGTTACGTGCATCGAGATATCAAACCTCAAAATATTTTCATTGATAGGCAAGTATGAATATGTGTTCTCTTCCTCGTCAGCTTGTAAACATTTTTGTTGAACATGGCTTCTCTCACAATGGGAATGATTTGCCGTAATCGCTTTGCTTGCCAGACGAATTGGCGATCTCACTTCCGGATGTCTCACACCTTGGCGCTATTTACCGCTGCCGGTAAAGATATTTTGCATCTGGTATGTATACAAAATGAAATACCATCTATTAGATGTCAAAAGATCGTCCGGGCTCAGGTCGTTTCTTACGAGCTTACGACCCTAACAAAACAAGTTTGGCTGATGGATATTTTTTTTATAGTATCAGGGTGACAGGCGAGTACACTGTTCATCTGATGGTAACTGGTTGCTGTGGCCCATAAACATCTATATCTATCCTCGTTTGCGAATCAAAATGCAGATGCGTTGTCAGCCGTGAAGACTAAGATGAAATGCCGCTTTTCCAGTAAAAACGAAACACAGCAGCGTTAAGCTGCTATTTTACGCTAGTATTCTGTGAGAGCGTGGTCCTTCCTCGGTCGAGGCGACCTATTCCTGCTACAACTACTATTAATATAGCTCCAGCATTGCTCTTTTTATGCTACTCAGCTATTTATATATAAGTATAATAATTTATGCCATGAGAATGCATTGCCCCATTTCGTCCTGTGTCGTAAGAGGAGGATATGGGAAGTGCAAACAAATTTTGTGAATTCCAATATATGCTGGACGAGGATCAGCGATAAAGGTAGTGAGACGTTTGGTACTAAGATTTTTAATCAACCTGCTTTGCATGACAATAAAAACAAGTTATCTCTACAATGAGAGAGGCCTATGTTCAGCAGCGAATGTTTTGATTTGCATATATTAACAACTCAATTTTCGGTTGTCAACATTTTTGCTGAGTACATAATATTTCTAATATCTACAAAGAAGTATACATTCTGTAAACACAACCAGGCCTCTGTCTCTCTTGCTACCTGCGTGAAATAATTACCTACAATCGCGAGGCACCCCCGGGATACAACGCAGTCGGAGCTAGCGCCTTCTAGGCGGTTGAATGTTAAAGTTTTTAACGCTGTTTACGTAAATAGTTTTTTGTAAACACTTGTTGAAATACTCGTCGAAATAGTTTTTGCTTACTGTTTAGTATATTTAATTGTAGGATGAAATAGTTGAAAGTTTTAATGTAATTTAAGAATAATATATATATGTATATTACCTATCTATTTATTTATAATGGTAAAACGTCGTTCCTACTATAATTGTTGCGGGGATCGATGCTCAATGAGCAATTAAAAGGATTCAGATATATCATTTCTTGAGTTACCGAAGGATAATGAAAGGTAAATTTATTTCATTTTTTTTTTGTTAGATAGGTACTTATAGCAAATAATGAATTAAGTAATAATTTAACTACAAAAGTAATACCTAAGTACTTTATTACAAAACTTCTTTGAAATTAACTTCACTACCCTAATACCTACTTACATACCTATATTTGTCTTTTGTAATTAAAATATTTTAAGTTATAATAACACAAATTACTGAAATAAAACTTTGTTTAGAAGATATTTAACTAAGTACAATATGATCACATTTCTGTTAGGAGTTCGGGTATACGCTTAGGGACTCTATGAGACGCAAAAAAATATAATGATAAAAAAATTGGAAAATTGGACTTATGCGCATTACGAACAATACCATAAACATACATGGCGAATGAAAATATCCATTAAAAGAAAAAATAGTGCATCCCTAGTTTTGACCATCGGCACTTTGATAGTGCGCGGCGTCTTGTTGTCGGCGTCATCAAAGGTCGGATACTGACCTGTCAAAGAAATCGTGCAGCTATTCGAAAGTACAAGGTCAAGATACACGTGCCGGCGGCTACTATTGATATCGCATAATCGTCGCCGCCGCGCCACACGCACTACATTTGACACTGTATGATTGCCGCCACAGAGTACATGCTTTAAAGAATAAAATAAGTTTTCGGGTGCTCAGAATGGACACGAATACATTATCCTGATCTCGCAAGAAATATTGTAATTAGATAATAGGTAGGTATCATAATAATTTATTCTAGTAAGTAATTATTATAAAATTAACTATATGGATTTATAATAATTACTTACTATTATTAAGTGGCGAAGCTTGCGAAGTCACTTATTGATTTCACGATGTCTGTCCGTCTCGTCTGTTACGGACTGGCATAGGTTCGAGGCTAACCTCGAAACTATGAACTCACAATACTTAGACCAAGTGCCAGATGTAATTGACACCAAAGAGGTGGCCTTAGAAGCCATCTCTCACATCACCTCTCATATGAACAATTTGAAAAATTCAAGAAAATCAAAAACATGCGACTAAGCTGATTGCTTCGCCACTTTGCTATGCTGTTAGCTTGCTAGGTTTATTGTTATTATTATTACCTAAAAGATAAACATGTTCAGTAAGTTCACTGCAAATCTCGACTTTTGCAAGTGTGTGTTTTTAAAACACAAAGTGCTCGAATATGTCGTCACACATTTGATAAATATGGTTGACACCATAACACTTTTAAAACACTTGAAATGTGTAAAAATGGATCTGGATCTTGTCTTCAAGGCTTAGTTATTAAGGAGTTAGAGGGGTACCTAGGTAAACCCAGAGCCGTCATCTCGGAAGACATTTTAGACTGTTAGAGGACACATGAGACAAAATATCCGATTTTATCGAAGATGGCCCGTGATTTTCTTTTAATACCTGCAACTTCAGTACCTGCTGAGAGATTATTTTCTAAAGCATCATTAGTAATTAGAAAACATAGAAATAGGTTAAGTGATGAGTCAGCCAGATGGTTACTTTGTATTAATGCTTTGTCAAAAGAATAAATATAAAGTAACAGTAATGTCAAAGCTGTTGTGTACATACTGTGAAGTAATTTAATTTGCATCGTATTTTATTTTTTATTTAAATAAGTTGTATATTGTATAACTCTTTTATTCCATTTCATATATGGTTAGGGTCCATCAATCTCTTTCTAGAGAGATAATGTTATTTAAAATACAGTGTAGTTATTGCCATTAATTTGTTTTTATATGTATGTTTAACCATGTTTTAGCACATGTAAGCTTATTAAATGTAAACGTTTATTAAGAAACTGACGCCCGTGGCCGTGGGACACGGTAGATAGCTCAGTTGGTTAGAGCATCGGCACGGATCGCTTAGGTCGTAGGTTCAAACCCCACCCGGTGTCAGTTGATTTTTCGAATTTCTCATTAAATGTTTAGACATTTATTAATATGGTTGGTCTTTACTTTGGCTATGTTAATTCAAGCTCAATATGTACCTACTCTGTTAAGTTGTTCTAAGATCTAAAGTAACGTTTAATAAATAGTAATAGGCTAATAGATCATTGCGAGACTTGCGAGACTCTTGCTGCAAGACCAAGACCAAGACTGGGAGCGCAATACCAAGACCAAGACCAGGTGTATTGGCGCAAGACCAAGACCAAGACTTGCTAAGTCTCGTCTTGTTCTTGCATTTGGGCAACACTAGGTGCAGATACCCAGTTGGCTAACAAGGATTCACAATGACATCAAATATTTCGTACTATGCTAGAGGATTCTGTCTTCAATAGGAGAAAAGACACTTTATTGCACAGTTCTAGTTGCTATTGATACTCAACCCGAGGAATTAAGGACCCGTATAATAAGTTGTTTAACTATTGTGCACCATGTAGTGGCGGTGTAATACCCTATATTCCGTGGGTGTTGTAAAAGACGACAGGCGGAACAAATCAGGAGATGGGCAGCAGCATCTTCCTAATAACGACTATAGTTCGGCCGTTCAGAAAATGCGTTCCTGACACCTATCAGTTAGTCACGACCTATGATGGGCACAATATAGCACTGAGTTCGTTACCGTTCCTCCAAAATGAACCGCCGCGTTAATTTTAAGATTATTTTCGTTTTGAATTGGCGGAATCATTTAAAATTTATATTTTAGTAATTAAAGTGGAAAGCAAAAAAAGGTAATATTAATATAATAAAAGCGTTTTATTTATTCTTTGTTACAAAGTTACAATCTGTATTTCTATGCAATAAAGTACCAAGAATTGAATGTGCGTACAGAATATTAATCAGACTCCGATTCGCTTGAGGAGGTGGTGTCTTCATCATCATCTACGCCTACATGTATAATTATATTATTATCAATAACAGAATCAATACTGATATCTCGGTTAAAATGTTCCACAATCAGGTTTTTAGTCTTCTCAACAACCTTTGCCCAGTCATCTCTTGTGACTTCTCTTTTTTATTAGCTTGGGTAGGTGGTTTCTGTATTTGAACCGAGTGATAGGAGGCATTATCCATGAATATTACAGAAGCCTCTGGTAGGCTGGGCAAAAGCACGTTCTGGAACCACTCTTTAAATGTAGTGGCATTCATTTCCTCGTGGTAGTCGTTTGTGGTTTTTGATTGAAATGCCAGTAACGCGTTCTCCACAAAGCCGTATTTTGCAGAACCTGCGTGGCATATTATCAGACGGGCCCCCTTACCCATTGGTACTTTCGAAGTCGACGCTTGTGTATCATCCGTCTAAGAACGGGAAACCGTGTGATTGGCGTTTAGCCATGTCTCGTCAATGAACACGACATTATCCCAGTTATCAATATTTTTTGCTTCTCTCAAAAAACTTATCCGTTTTAAAATTATGTCGTATCGTTCTAATAAAATTTTTCTTTTGTCTGTTTTTTTATACGAAAAACCAATATCTTTTAAGATTTTGGTTAAAGCAGTTTTACCCCCGCTAAACAGTCCAGCTTCTCTTAACGATGCCAAAAGCTTCTTCCTGTTGAGATATTCATTTCTGGAATAGTAACCATATATATGATTTCTGATTGCATCGGCGTCAAAGGTGTCAATATCTGTCACGGGTTTAGTTCTACGTTTCTTCTTCGGAGTACGTAAAATATTATCTTCCGTGCCAGTAGAGCCGAACTTTTCTTTATTAATATTTGTTATCGTTCGTTTGCTAACTCCAAGCGCCTGAGAGACGCGTTCTTGTACTTGTTCGACAGGTAACAGGGGTCCGCCATTTTGCCGCTCCCGCTCAAAGTAATCTTGCAGCTTGATGATTAACTCACGGGCTCTACTTTTCAATGTTTGTCCACGTTTAGGCATTATTATGCACCAAAAGTAAAAAGAACGCAATACAAAACACAATCGAAATCCGATTTAGCGCTGATGTCAGTTTGAAAAGCAGAAACAGTCCATTAAACGAAAGCCGGGTAATCAAATAAAAACAGATCGAAAACACTTGAAGAACGTGGTCTATGCGCACGAAACGACAACAGACGACTGTTTTAGCGTGTCACAAAATGGCGGCCCATAACGCCATTTGGGTTTACCATTTTCAACCTAAATATAAAAATGCTACTTTCTTTCGCGCGTTCGGTTTGGTCGTAGTTTTATTTTTATATTTAATAAAAGTTATCTTATAGTCCATTATTTTCAAATTGTTAAAAAGAAAAACAAAACGTATTATTTTATAAAGTATAACTGTATAAGAACAGATTACGATACTGTTATTGCCTGTTATTGTTAGCACAGCACTACAAATATAAAGCGCTGACATAACCTTGTAATAGCGCAGTATAGATTTAGAAAAATATTGTTTACCAAGTTATTTGACACTCAGTTTGGCACAAAATTATAACATTCATTGATTATTGATATAATAATGTTGCTTTAATACTCATCAATTGTTAAAACGGTAAACAACCAGCAAAAATATTTTTATCGTAACTGCAACGCCATTACAAAGTTACGTCGTCAGTTCAATCGCGACGTGTCAGGAACGCATTCTCTGAACTGCATAACTATAAAAATAAAAAACTGCGGTCGCCCTACTGCTTGTCAAGCGTGGCAACTATGGCAAATATCTCTATGAGGCAATCTATTGGGGAGGCCTATGTTCAGCGGTGGAATAATAAACTGTAACGGTAACGCTAACAATTGTGTATTTTTATCAGATGCGGACACGTGAAGCTCGGTGATTTCGGTTCGTGCGCTCGTCTATCTGAAGGCGGGGCGTCGGGCATCGCGGTGGGAACTCCCGATTACGTGGCGCCGGAGCTGCTGGCCGCCGCCGACTGCGCTCACACCGTCTGTCTCGACTACTGCCGCGGCGTACAGACCGCTATTGTGGGTTCGCTCGCACGCACTCGCTTCGCACGCTCCGTGTCTCTTTCTAAACCTCGTGTTTTGTTTGTGCAGTGTGTCGTGGGTTTGAGTGTACTGATGGGTGTTAGTCTTAAAGGTCGAATGGGGTACTCGTATATCCTAGTCCTTTTAAGGTCTATCCACATATATACATGTACAGCGTCCAGGCTGTGGGCTTCAATATGGAAGAAGCTGAACCTTGTACATAAGTGTTAACACCGACATGTGTGAAAGAGTTTGTATAACACATAATAAAGTAAAGTAACACCCTATTTGTCCCAGACCTCTCATTTCTGATAGGATTACGCTGCAATTAGTATGCTGTGCTGCAGCTCCTATGCGTTTTGACGGACTTCACATGTCTTCGAAATACATTCAACTTTCCTCGAGAACTTTTCTTTCACCGCCGAGAATGTGGTAAATCAGCATTTAAATTGGAATTAACAATTTCATTAGTGCTAGCAGGGATTAAACACGTGTTGCTTGTGTGTTATTTATTTATCAGTACATAATATGTTACATGGCTAACATATTATGTACTAATAAATAATATTGGCCGATATCTTTGTGCTCCTGACGAAAGACGTGTGTGAAATAGTAATCTGAAGAACGCTAAAGTAAATAATAATCCAGAATGTATTTAGAATGGAATTATACACATAAGATTTGTTAATGTTAGGAGTGTGTGTAAATATCTATAACATTTAACCCACAACACAAGCAAATAATAGGTTATCAGAAAACTGTAGGTAAATTTAAATGAGAATGACATATTTCAATCCTGATTTCATTAAATTTTATAGTTTTCTATTAGCATTAAGGACTGTAGAAAGTCAACTTAGCTTACACAGCAGGATCGTATAGCCCCAGCTAGTATTGTATATTGTTTTATTAATTTTGAAAGGTTTAGAATGAGACATTAGAGTATTGTAACATAAGCAAAATAATTTAATTAACTCACGGGCACTTTGTAAGTAAAATAATTTTGCAGTTGAGCACTAGTGCACTTACATTTGTTGACGAGAATAATTAAGGTGAAGTAAATCAAGTGTTGTTTATATGAGCATGTTTTTAAAAATAAAACTAATATAGAAATTATTTAGTTACTAAATCCTAGAAACTATGTGTGATTTTAACATTTGAAATAAGGTAGATGTTTTTTAGCTAATACAGTGTAACATGCTTTGTATTGGAACAGACAATGCATGTGTACAAGAATTATTAGATGTGAAGTCCTTTCACTCCTAACTCAAGTAAACAGTTGTTACAAATATCTGATCCTCAAATTTATTATTGTTATACTATATGTTTTTAGTGGCATAATGTACAATTAAAGTTGAAGCCAGACAAGCTTTATCATAGTTGCGTAAACTGATCAACATCATAATATTATGATATTATTATTCTTTCAACAGACCGATAATTGTAATAGTTATTGTTATATTATTTTAAAAAGTACACTTTAACACGGTTTGGTTGTAATTAATTGGTTTGAGGTCAGTGGTGCTGGAAATAAATTTAAGCACTGTAGATTACAATTTTGATCGCATTTTTTATATTTTGGAACAGGCACTAGTAATGCATTGCTTTCTATCACCACTCCTTGAGATTTTATTCATTCATTCATTAGTCTATCAAAGTCTACTGCTGAACATTGGACTCTCCTATAGATTGCCTCTTAGGGGAGATACTTGCCATACTTGCCACCGGAGTTTTTTTTATTATCTTGAGTGGTTATCAGGAAAATGCTGCTTCCCATCTCCCGTTTTATTTCTCTTCGTCGTCTCTTATGACACCCATAGGATGATATGGGTTAGTGGATACTCCTACGCCGTCATACGCCACTCTTTCTGTGGGAATATTGTGCAGCAATTTTGGATGTATATGCTGTTATTAATCAGTCGCCACTGCCTCATCCTTTGTTTAGCAGCATACTGATGCATCTCATTCACCTGGACCATTAGATTATCAAGCTTGATAATTCCCCTTTACAATCCAGATTCGTATATGTTCGATATTTTTTTTAAGTTTTAATCTTTAAACGTTAAGAGAGATTAAGATTTAATAAAATAAAAAAAAATACTGTCATGCATGGCAGACAAATTGACCACTAGTTTACCGTAAGCTGGCGGCGTAAGATAATCTCTTGCCACATTTCGTCCCGTGGGAGTCTTAAAAGGCGCTAATAGGATATGCCAAAAAGATTATTTAAAAAAATGCTAATTTTTCTATTTATTTTCTTTTGGCATTTCGGAAAAAGTATCAATCCCATCATTAATATGTAATACTAGTTATATTAATAACGTAAGGAACTACGAGGGGAGGTCAAAAGTTCACGGAAAGACAGGGAAGGATAATGAAATGAAACATTAAACTAGTTTTCCTTTTCAATGTATTCTCCTTTAATCCTGATGCATTTATTAGATTTGTCAAATAACTTATTAATACCGCCTAAAAAAATAATTGTGTTGGGCGTCAAAATAGGCCGAATTTGCCAACTTCACTTCATCATCGTCGCCAAATTTTTTCCCACGCAGTCCTTTCTTTATTTTTGGAAACAAATAATAGTCGTTTGGAGCCAGGTCTGAGCTTTAGGGTGGTTGGCGCAGTTGTTCAACACCGCACCGGTGAATGGCAGCCGTCGCAACATGGTTTGTATGCACGGGCGCATTGTCGTGCAAAAGGAGCACCCCTTTTGTAAGCTTTCCTCGCCTTTTTTCTTCAATAGCTTCTTTTAATTGATCTTCTTAGAAGCGTAGTATTCTCCCGTTATGCAAACACCACGTTCCTTATAATCAAACAAAAGGATACCTTCCGTATCCCAAAAAATCGTTGCCATGATTTTCCGCCCGATTGAGACACATGCTTCTTAGGAGAGGGTGTGCCTTTTTTATGCCACTGCATCGCCTCTTGTTTTGACTCAGGTTCATAATGGTGAAACCAAGTTTCATCGCCAGTTACAATTCGGGCCATAACTTCTTCCCTTTGTTGTCCAAAGCGATCCAAAAACTCGCGACAACTTTCGACGCGCTCGTGTTTTTGATGAGCAGAAAGCATTCTCGGAACCTATCTTGCACAGACTTTAGTCATGCCAAGGTCTTGATGTAGGATATTTAAAATAGTTATTTCTGATACTTCAACTAATGCTGCAAGCTGTTTTTTCTTTAGCCGGGCATCTTCCAATACACATTTTTCAACTTTTTCGATTATTTCTGGCGTGGTAGCCTCAATCGGCCGTCCAGGGCGTGCCATTTATAAATCATGGTTTTCCCAGGAGCGCAGTTTATTTTTTTTTTATTTTATATTTTATAGGAGAGGGGGCAAACGAGCATGCGGCTCACCTGATGGTAAGTGACTACCGCCGCCCAAGAACAACCGCAACACCAGGGGAATTGCAGATGCGTTGCCGGCCTTTTAAAAAGGAGTAGGCTCTTTTCTTGAAGGTCCCTAAGTCGTATCGGTCCGGAAAAATCGCTGATGGTAATCGATTCCACAAGGAAGTCGTGCGAGGAAGAAAACATCTTCTAAACCGCACAGTGGTGGACCGCCAATCATCCAGATGATGGGGATGGTATCGGGAGTTCTGCCGCGATGTGCGTTCATGAAATTTGGCGGCTGGGATTAATCCGAACAATTCCTCAGAGCACTCCCAAATGCAAAGAGATGCAACATCTCTTCGCAGTGCCAATGAATCGAGCCGATCGGAAAGGGCTCGATCGTCGACGATTCGAGCCGCTCTGCGCTGGATGCGGTCAAGTGGAAGGAGCTGGCACTGGGGAGCCCCTGCCCAGAGATGGGAACAGTATTCCATGTGAGGCCGAACCTGCGCCTTGTAAAGTTGCAGGCGGTGTGCCGGCATGAAATACTGTCCCGCTCTGCTGAGCACGCCAAGCTTTTTAGAGGCCAATTTGGCCTTCTCTTCCAAGTGACCACGAAACTGCACGTCACTCGATATGTCGACTCCGAGAATACCGATACTGGCTGAGGCAAGAAGGGGAGTGCCGTGACACTGAGGAGATACGACAAAGGGGTTCTTTTTAGCGGTAAACGCGCAAACTTGTGTCTTCTGAGGATTAAACTGGACTAGATTTAGTCTCCCCCAATCCGAGACTTTATCCAGCAAAGACTCGACTTCAGACACAAGTTTGTTCCGGTACTCGGCGACGTTTTCCCGAGAAATATTGGCCCGGCCGGTGTATAGAGCATCACCAGTGCTGTCATCCGCATAGCAATGAATGTTACCAGTTAGCAACATATCATTGATATGCAGAAGAAACAGCGTTGGTGATAGCACACAGCCTTGTGGAACACCAGCGTTAATAGGCTTGTAGTCAGAACATGCACCGTCTACAACGACCTTGATGCTCCGATCTGCAAGAAAGCTGGTGATCCAATTGCACAATTTCTCGGGAAGCCCATAGGAAGGGAGCTTCGAAAGAAGCGCTTTGTGCCAAACCCGATCGAAGGCCTTCGCAATGTCCAGACTAACGGCCAACGCCTCCCCCTTGGACTCAATTGCCTCCGCCCATCTATGGGTCAGGTAGACCAGAAGATCACCAGCTGATCGACACCGACGAAAACCGTATTGGCGGTCACTAATCAGCTGGTGATCCTCAAGGTACCGGATGAGCTGGCAGTTAATAATGGATTCCATTATTTTGGAGAACAAGGCGGTGATCGCGATAGGCCTATAGTTGGACGGGTCTGAGCGGTCGCCTTTTTTAGGGCAAATTTAGAAAAAAAATTTTTTCGGGTGGACAAAAGCTGTCTTCCATGAATTCGGGACTACGCCTTGGGAGTAGGAGTACCGGAAAAGACGCGTTAGGACCGGTGCCAACTCCGGAGCACACGTCCTCAGCACAATTGGGGGGATTCCGTCAGGCCCACTCGACTTCTGGATGTCCAGGGAGAGAAGTGCTTTGCGAACTGAGCGCTGTGAGAATAGCACATCCGGCATGGAGCACTCACACCGCGGGATGGTCGGCGGTATTTTCCCCCCGTCATCAAGAGTCGAGTTGGACGCAAAAAGGGAGCCTAAAAGGTCGGCTTTGTCTTTTGCGTCTTGGGCCAGTGAGTCGTCCTCCCTGTGCAGAGATGGTAGTGATGGCTTACAGAAATTCCCTTGGACAGCCTTGGCGAGCGACCAGAATGCACGGGTTCCCGAAGGAAGGCGAACTAGTTTCTCGCCAATTCTGCCTATGTGCTCTGACTTTGCCTTGGCAATAACTCTTTTGAAGGACCTGGAGGCGAAGTTATACTTCCTTTTAAGTGTGCTGGTGTTTACATCCCGAGTCACCGAAGCCGCAGCCCAGGCTTGATAACACTTCTGCTTACTGCGCAATGCAGTCTTACAGGAGCGACCAAACCAAGGCTGAGATCTGCCTCCGATGGGTACCACAGATGATGGAATAAATAGTTCCATTTCCTGTAGCACCATATCAGTGACAGAGTCAGCAACAGCGCTGGGATCATCCGGCGAGAAGCAAATCCGCCCCATGGGTAGGATGCAAAGAAAGACCGCATTCCGTCCCAATCCGCCGACCTGTAATGCCAAACACGGCGGCAACCTGCAGAACGCAACCGCGAAGGGAGCGTGAGTGGCACCATACTCCGGATCAGACAATGGTCCGAAGAGCCGAGAGGGGCATCGACGGAAACCTGATATCCGTCCGGATGAGAGGTCAGCAGAAGGTCCAACAGGGAAGGTGTATGATCCTCCACATCTGGAATCCGCGTAGGCGAAGTAACCAGTTGTGTCAGACCATATGCCAAGGCAAAGTCATAAACAGATCTCCCCGCATGATCGGTTAAACGTGAGCCGAGCCATTCGGCATGGTGGGCGTTAAAATCGCCAAGGATCACGATCACTGCGGATGGGACCTGTTGTAGCAAGGAATCTGTAGCCATTTGGACGTGGTCGATGAGTCGGTCTGTTTCGGCATTACCGCTATGGGACCTGTAGAGGCACCCGTAGACGCGCGGATGGTCGTCGCTGTCTACGCGAAGCCAAAGGATGGACAGGTCCGAACCTTCAAGACTGCCGAGGCGTCGAGAACAAATGTCCTCTCTGACATACACGCAAACTCCAGCCCGAGGCACAAAGGAATACTCCAATTTGTACCCCGGGTAGGAGAGATACGAAATATCAGCCGGAGAGGAAACCTGCGTCTCGGTCAGAAAGAGCAAGGCCGGCTTCGCCGTCTCGAGATGGTAGTGGACGGCGTTTAGGTTAGAGTGAAGTCCCCTGATGTTGCAGAAATTCACGGATAGCGTGGCAGGGGTCGCCTTGGTATTGTTGCTCAGTTTGCCCCGAGCAGTTTTGTTTTTGAGCGGAATTTTGCCCCCCCCCCCCCCCAGAATACGCGGGGCAGCCTGAGCACCCACGCTCAGGATTGGAATAACATGGTCGTGGATGCTCAGCGAGGGATTCTCCAGGGGTACTGGTACCCTCCTGGGGTAGTCTATTGTCTAATTCCGCTACCATGTTGATGGGGGGGGAGGGGGGGGGGGGAATTGGGCCTCCGGCCACCTGCACTCACCAGACGAAACGCAGAAGCAGAGCCTCTACTTCACGCCGGTATTCTGTGAGGTCGTGGTACCAACCCGGCTCGAGCCGGCCCAAACGTGCAACAGCAAAAACTGCTGCGGGGCTCTACCACCGTTAAATAGTACTAAAGTCTCCATAAACAGCTGACATCTCATGAAAAATGGTTTGAGGTGTCTTTTCTTGTTTGGTGAGAATCTTGAATGACGACGCGATATTCAATTTTTTCCATAGTGGCTAGTTTCTTCCCGATTGACTTGTTTACCGGGATGAGTAAACTCACCCTTGCCAACCCCGCCATTCTGTGAACTTTTTGACCTGCCCTCGTAAGTTACCATAAAACTTAAAAGTAAATTAAAACGATGCAGATCGAAAACAGAGTATCCCAATGTTAATAAAACGTAAATATTGTACAACCGACTTCAATATAAATTATTAAGGATGACTCAAAACTACTCCTTGATCTAATTTATATGGGACCACATGAAAAGCATCAGCTTTCAAATAAAAAAAGAATCATCGAAATCTAATCACCGAGAGAAAAAAATGTATGAGGTAACACACATAAAATATACACTCGAATTGAGTACTTCCTCCCTTTTGAAGTCGGTTGAAAATATAAGTTATTAAAAAGAAGAATGAGCCAAACATGTAGTAATCATGTTTTGAAGTTTACAATTTGTATTTATAAACAAGTATAAAATATTATTTAGTCGAATTTATAATCGAAATTCCTCATTCTGGTTATATGTATATACATATGTAATGTATTTTTCTCTGTGTACAGTCCGCCTGTGACTACTGGTCGCTCGGCGTGGTGGCGTTTGAACTTGTGACACTAAAAAGACCGTTCTCGTCCAGTGACGACGATTCTCTGGCACAGATTTTAGCCAACATTCAAAGGTATGGTGTTTTTTACGGATTTGTTAATTTACAGTTTTTCATCATCTCTAAGAAACCGTTATCGCTCATCATCGCATTACTAGTAACATTTTTTGTGTTTTACTTGATTATATTTCCGGTTTATTTGTTTTGAACAGGCACGTTCCTAACAACCAAAATAAAAAAAAAAAATAATTCACGCAATTTGGAGCTCCTTAAAAATTCCTTAGTAATTAATAGGTTCGCTTATTTTAACAATGGCGAAAGACTTCTTATGTATATGCGAATACAACATAAATAATTAAACTTTTGTAAGGATTTCGTCGCATTTTATTTTAATATATTTCGAATTCCTGAGTTTCGTGTGCCATGTGGTGTTTCTGCCAGAAACGCGCTAGTTTACACTCTAGAATTGCAAGGCAGGTTAGAAGCATCATGGGCAATGGGCAGATGTCACTATCGGGATTTATCTAATATCAAAGTTCAAATTCTATTTTATTATTAGTTATTCTGTCATAGTCACCTTCCCTCCGGATCACTGTACAATATAGACGTGTTTATAGTGAATCGTGTTTAAAATATTAATTAATATTGATTTAGAAAAAATAACACTAAATTATCGAATACTAGGCGCGCATGAAGTATCCTAAGTTGTTGTTGTTGTAAGTCCAACATAATAATTTATCTCCGTGAACCCTGTTACGTGAGTAATTAACGAATAAGATTGGCCGCTCAGATATAACCCCGCCCCTATATACTAACGGAAATAAGATTTGTGCACGCTGCTTTGGTGTAGCGCCCACCACGCGCCACTAATGTGCCCGCACAAATAGTGCCTGCATACGCGCTAAAGACGGTGCACGTTGGACTACACCGATCACAAGTACCAGGGCATCAGAAGCACACAAAAGTATACGTATTCACTGCGCCGATTTTGTACTATTATATACTTATTATAATCATAAGAAACCCTAAAACTCCTGCTTTATAAACATGCCACTTAGGCGGACTCCACCACTTATAGCAACCTCGACGGAACCCAGGGAACCACAATATCATGGTGGCTCCGAACCCAACATTTCTACCTATAAAGAAGATTCTGATTTAGGAGATTTCTCAACTAACATGAGTACGCGTGCTACTAAACGTAAACATGATCAAGACTTCAAAGAGGAACTACAGGCATTTAAAGAAGATATCTTTAGCACCCTGAACTCTTGGAAGGATTCTCAAGAAAATAAGATGGAGACAATTCTTAAGACTATAAACGAGCTTCGTTACGAATATAAAGAACTACACACGCGTGAAATTTATGAGCAGTAAATATGATGAGGTAAGGGAGAAAATTGATGTACTAGATAAAGAAAAACGAGAACAACTAAAATATATTCGCGACCTCGAAAATAAGATAGAATCCATGGAGAGAACTCAAAAATGTTCCACTATAGAAATTCGGAATATACCAAAACCACAAAAGACGGAAACAGCGGACGATTTAATATACATAGTCCAAAATATTGGTAATGTATTAAATGTAGAAATACAAAAGCAAGGGATAACAGATATATGTAGGGTAAATACTAACGCAAATAACTATAAGCCTATAATTGTCAAGTTCACCAACAAAATATCAAAGGATAAAGTGATCTCAGCAGTAAAATCATTTAATAAGGAAAACGCAAATAATAAATTAAATACTACCCATTTAAAAATTAATCAGTCTCTTACACCAATATATGTAATAGAAACCTTGACAGCGAACGCTAGAAAGCTGTTTTACATGAGTAGAGAATTTGCAAAGGAACATAAATATGTTCTGCTGGGTTTCGTTTGGACGCATATACTTAAGAAAAGAAGAAGGGTATGAAACAAATTCGTGTTGATTGCGAAGCTGATCTGCAAAAACTCAGAGAAAATGACTATTAGTCTTAATTTTTTGCATGGTTAAGTTAGTATTTACAGTAGAAAGTAAGTTTAATTTTATAAAATTTAGTAATACTATATTCTATCTTTTCACAGGCCGGTTACTACATTTTGAAAAGCAAAATTATTTTCTTATGTACACTATAACAAAATACTACTACTACCACCACACACCACACAATGTTACACATCTTTTTATATATATCTCACTAAAATATATAATCTATAAACATTTACATATTGTAAAGCAAGTGTTCATTTCAAAATAGAAGAGAATAGAATAGAATAGAATGATTTTTATTCAATATGGATTATTACATAATACTTATTGAAAGTCATTATTTTATTTACCACTGGTTCGGAAAATACCTCTGTCCTGGGAAGAACCAGCAAGAAACCCAGCGGGACTTTTTTTTAAAACATAATTTCACTTAACAATAATTTTCTTTATACAATTTTAAAGAATTTTCATAGAACCAGCATGGTGGCGATCACCTTATTCCCAGGGGTTATTTTCATTCATGTATTCCTTGATATTATAATAACCCTTTTTGTACAGTTTTTCTTTAGTAAAAGTTTTAAACTTGTTTATTGACAAACTTTGAACATGTTCTGGGATTTTGTTGTAAAAGCGTATACATTGCCCCATAAATGAATTACTAATTCTGTGGAGTCTAGTAACTGGCATTACAAGCTTATGTTTGTTCCTAGTGTTCTTCATCCTTACAACATCCTTATTCTTATTAAAGCTATTTATGTTTTTATGTACATACATTACATTTTCATAAATATATTGCGATGCCAAAGTTAATATGTTTATTTCTTTAAATTTTTCTCTGAGGGACTCTACAATTTAGATTATAAATCGCCCGTACGGCTCTCTTTTGCAAAACAAATATAGCTTCAATATCAGTCGCATTACCCCATAGCAAAATTCCATAAGACATTACGCCATGAAAGTAACTAAAATACACTAACCTAGCTGTCTCAACATCTGTGAGACTTTTAATCTTTCTTACAGCATATGCTGCAGAACTAAGTCTGCTTGCTAATTTAGATATATGGGGGCCCCATTGAAGTTTCGCGTCAATAGTAATACCAAGAAAAACAGTGGTATCCACAAGACTCAACTCCTCCCCATTTAAGAGCACATTCGTTTTCGAATGTTTTACATTAGGTATTGTAAATTTAATACATTTTATCTTATTGCCGTTTAAGAGAAAATTGTTGGCGTTAAACCAATGTACTAGTTTCGATAGAGCATTATTTACATCGTCATATTTAATTGACTGCCGTTTCAGTTTGAAAATTAAAGAAGTATCGTCACCAAATAATACTATATCATGATTGTCCCCTACAAGATAAGGTAAGTCATTAATATAGATTAAGAACAGGAATGGGCCAAGAATCGAGCCCTGAAGAACGCCCATTGATACTACCGATCCGGAGGAACATTTACCATTGATGACGACTTTTTGAGTTCTGTTATTTAAATATGAAGTAATAAGTCTGAGCACCAAATTTTTTACACCGTAATGTTGTAGTTTCCTGATTAATATCTCATGATGAACACAATCGAAAGCCTTGGAAAGGTCACAGAAAAACGATTTCGAACTGTTATTTATGCTGTTATATTAGTGTACCGTTTTTACGACACTGACGTTTGCTACTAATTACCAAATCGCAAACAAAAAAAAACTGAGTCGAGAAGAAGACAAGTAATCTGCGAGAGTGCCGTGAAGCAGAGGCGAGCAGTAAGGCTCAGAGCCATGCCCAACACTGTAGCGCAGAGAGTAGCTTGAAGAAACAGGAAGCATTATTATTCCAGTGCTGCGATGAACCTTTGTAAAGCTAGATGGCTTGCAGAATGTGAAGACTGCAGACAATATCTGTTTGGGAGCGAATGAATGGGGTACTTGAGGACGATGACGAAGGTATTGAAATTGTAGCTTCCGAAGGTTATTGGTTGCATGTTCATATCACGTCGGGGTCACCACTGTGGTGGGTGGAAGGAAAAGGGGAGATCTCCCGCGGGGCAAGGTGTTCTGCCCCGGGGAGCGGCCAACGCTCCGAGTGGTAGTTCGGAGCTATTCTATATAATTATACTGATTTAATTTAGGAACTTTGTTAGCGCGATTTAGGCTTCGATGTGTTTCGCTTGTGGCGCGACGACAGCGCTGCCACATACCCATTACCAAAACTACCTTTATGCAACGACACTACAATTTCATAGCACCATACATTTATAATAAAATTCCCACCGAGAATATTATTAGCCTTATAACTCTAAGCACCAATAGATTTAAAAAATATATACTGAAATGGCTGCAAGATCTTGATTATGTTCAAACTGAAAATCTTCTTACAATATTAAAAAAAATATAATCAATATTAAAATACTACTATGAAAACATGCACATATACATAGACAAACATAGACACACACTCACACACATACACACACGCGCAAACACACACACACCACATTAAACATTACCTAGCAGTAACCGCCATAAAATAATATTAATTAAGGAATAATGAATCATCTTATGTACTTACCGAATATGGACTTAGGGGAATGCACTGTGATAACCTAGTTTAGGAGACAGCTCGTTTGTATCTAAAAAAATTTGGTTGCTAATAAACGTTATTTTATTTATTTTATTACCAAGTTTAGAAGAATGGTTTTTCTAGATATGAGCGTGAAACTGACGCTGAGCCTCCGTTCGAGCCTCTGCCTCAGGGTCCGTCGCCCGTGTGGCGCACGCTGGTGGGTGGGTTGCTCCGGGTTGCGCCCGCGCGCCGCTTCAGCTACCTGGACACGCTGCAGCAGCCCGCGCTGGCGCACCTCCGCTTGCACTCCATCCGCGATCAGGTGCGCCCGACCCCACCACACAACATCGCACCACATTAACCCGCACCTCGCACCTTGCACATCCGCCTGCAGGATTTCCGTGATCAAGCATGCACCACCTCGCTTCACTACACTAACACTCCTCAAACTTTTGCCTTCACAATAACCGCGATCAGACGCGCCCCACTCCATTACATGACATCGCACCTCAATGACACATAATATCTCTACTTCAACCAGCAAGTTAGCCGAGATGATATTCTATGATCGTTAATGGTATAGAAAACGATAAAAATGAATTAATCAACGCTAAGTTACTGTCACGTGACATGACATTCATATCTGTTATTCATATTAAATTTTATAGTCTACTATAGCGTTAACAATCGTAGAAAATTTTGTCTTGGCCAACACCGCTGGACCGCTTCATTTTTAGTATTAACACTGTACTTTTACTTTGCAATGTCGCACATCGACATTGTTAAATTTTATAAATACAGTTATATCACACAGGATCTTACCCCAGTCGTTTTATTACAGGCTCCGCCATGGGTTCCTCACCTTCGCGGCCCGGAAGACGCGTCGTACTTTTCGCCGCCGTCGCGGGGCACGCCGCCCCCCTCCGCGGCACCGTTCCGCACGCGACCACCATTCGCGGGACAGCTGCCTTTTGTCGGTCATTGTCACCTTTCATTTCCTTAATGTGTATTTTACTCAATACTTTTACAAAAATGTTTACTTTCTCAGTTTTTGTTTTGGTTTTGCAGGATATTCCTTCGTAGCTCGAGATGAAAATGAGGATAGTAGTGGCGGTTTTAATGCGTCGCATGATTGCACGGCTATCAACTTAGCTACTTTTAAGTAAGTTATTTTTAATGTCAATTGTTCTAAGTCTGTTATAGGATTACAGCCCCGACTTCACAAGTTATAATGTGGAAATTATTTTAATATTTTAGTTCTTTAAATCTGTTATTACTTTTTATTAAAAACTTTCTTTTTTTAAACTTTTGAGTGGACTAAGGAACATCACAAGCACAAGCTTATAATTAGAATGTCTTCATTTCATTAAAAACTACATCTATCATTTTCTACATATAGGAGTGAAATTTTTGTTTGAAATTTAAATAAGACGACTATGGAGATATTGTAGCCTAAATTAAAAAAAAATGATTACTAAAATTGGTAAATGAAAAAATTCACATTTGACGAAGATACCGCACAAATCCTTCTGCACACTCGATACCTACGGAATATCCCACCGTTTTTGTTGGTTAACTTCCGGTGAAAAATTCTCGCTGGAACAGTGCGTTCGCCATGTCTGTCCTGCCTCCGTAGCAAAGCACATGTTTACTTTATTATTTAAAATTATGTTACACTAGCTGTTCCCGCGACTTCGCCCGCGTGGAGTTATTTTTCGCGGAACCTTAAAATAAAAGCATATATAAATATACGAAAACAAAGAATAGAATAGAATAATTTTAATTCAATTTAGATTACAAAAATACTTATTGAAAGTCATTTATGCTTTTATCACTAGTTCCAAAAAACCTCTGTCCTGATAAGAATTTATGTAACTTATATTGTACAGTTAAATATTTATTTATTTGTTACATAATTATAACATCATTACAGTTATATTAACCAATGCGATGCTATAACTAACCTAGATATAAGAAAACTACTGACTTATAAATAATGACTATAAAATAATAAATAATAATATTAACATGATTATAAAATAAAATACTAATTAAAAAAAATTACAATTTTCAACGCATTTGTATGCTGCAATTGTGAACTTCGTCTGACTACATGTAAATATGTCAATATCCTGTGAGATGATATTAACGTAGTGTATGGCACGTGTCAATGGTGCATTCTGAAGCAACTTCGTCTTAGCGGGGCGCGGCGACGATAAATTTTTTAAATGTTTTGATAGATAAAGCTGTTGTAAAAGCGTACACATTGCCCCATGAAGTAATTACTGTAGTAAAATACGGTTTCAATTTAAATTGTGTTACCCCATAGCAAAATTCCATAATACACTATGCTATGAGAGTAATTAAAATAAATTAATTGAGCTGTTTCAACATTGGGGAGACATATAACTTTTCTTACAGTATATGATGCAGAATTAAGTCTTCTTGTTTATTTAGATATATGGGGGCATCGTTGTAGCTTTGCGTCAATAGTAATTCCAAGAAAAATAGTGGTATCCACAAGACTCAACTCCTCTTATTTAAGAGCACATTGGTATTTGAATGTTTAATATTAGGTATCGTAAATTTATTAAAAAAAAAACATTTTATTAAATATATACATATATTTTGAATATATTTTAGTATTTTATATTTTTACAATGTCATCGAGTCTATGTTCTAAATTTCTAAGTTTTAGCTTATCGGAAAGTTCTATCGAAATCTAAAAAATCTTTAAAATTTTACTAAATTCGACTCGTATAGACATACGTACACGAAAGTGAGTTAATAAAAGCGTGGTAATAAAATATGTGTCCGTGGTAATAAAATAGCGACGATGCAGGTCGGCGGAGAAGCTGGCGGCGATGCGGGCGCGCGAGGTGGCGTCGCTGCAGAGCCGGCTGGCCGAGGCCGAGGCGGCGGCGGCCGAGCGCGCCGACAGCGCGCGCCGCCACGCCGACGCGGACGCCGAGCGCCAGCGCGCGCGCCTGCAGGCCGACATCACCGCGCTCACTCTGCAGAACAAGTACGCACACCGCTCATTCACTCACACTACATCTACATACTCTACTGCCAATTGCGACGCTCGCTAGCTGGATTGCAACAGCTTCTCTAACACTACCTCCTGCCAGTTTGCTCTTTTTATCTATTTTTTTTATACACATAAAATATATTAATAAAGTTGTCTGGCTTCTACTAAGCTCATAGGGTTATTTAAATGCAATTAAAGCGTCTCCGTTGTATTCACTTGCAATGTGATGAGTCTGCAAACTCGTGCGGCCATGTCACGGCCGCGTGCCACGTCCACTCCGCCACCACGTGTGTGTTATCGAGTGTGCGGCCTATCGGTGGCCAATTTTGTAAATTTTTACAACAGTTACAGAAATTTTTACAGAAATTTTATTAGAAACTATGCAAAATTATTCAGTACTTTATGATACTTCACGCCGTGATTACAAAAGCATTAGGATTAAAAACAAAATATGAGATAATATTGCTGAATATAATAAAAGTAATAAAACTTCGTCACGGTTAGCCATATTGACTAACGTCCGATCGTAGCACAGACACCACAGCGAATGGCGCTTTAGGCCGCCGCTGCGACCGTAGTGGTGTGTTGTTACAGCAGCTGAAGCCGCGGCTCGCGGTTAACCGCCACCGCAAGCCGCTACCGCAAGCTGCTTGTATGTGAGAGACGCTTAAGACATGATTAATCTCCGAAATGGCTGAAGCGATTGTGATGAAACTTCACTAACATATAAACACCATTGCCAAGAAAAATCTAGGCTTATTAAAAGATTATTAAATCAAAACCAAAAAATGCTAAGCAGCGGTGCCTGAATTATTATGTCCTTTCCTGAAAGGAGCAGGAGAGAGTTAGCTTAATTTCAGGCCGTGAAACATTTCATCTTAGTCCCCAGAGATTTGCTGGTGTCATTTGACTGCAGTACCCACGTAACATTAGATATTATGCTCTAATTTCTCACAGAAAACCAGCGTAAAATAGCAGATTAACGCTGCTGTGTTTCATATGGTGAGTGTAGAGACCCTTTTTACTGGCAAGAGGCATTCCATCTTAGTCCTCACGGGTGACAACACATCTGCATCTTGAGTCTTTATTGACGATAGATGTAGATGTCTAAGGGTCACAGTAACCACTTACCATCAGGTGGACTGTGTGCTCGTTTGTCACCTTATCCTATAAATAAAATTTCATCTCTCACTACGATTCTATTAGATCAGAACCACAAGATCTGAGCCTTTCGCTAAATTGCCTGTGGTTGCCTTACGACACCCACAGAACAGTGGCGGTACCTCCATAAAATCTAAATGTCCGGCAAAACCTAATTAAAGACTTATTAGAGGTTAGAAATAATTTATTTCTCATAAGAATTACATTCACTTACATGAGAAATTTAAATGATACAGAATTTAAAACATTGACATATCGTACATAAATGTAATTAATAACGAGATAATATTTGAATTGTCGCGTGCTTGTGTATGTATTATATTATCTTTAACAAATAAACACTTCAAATTTCAAAAATCACCCAATGACGCGCAAACGCACCGAATCGAACGACCAATCAAAGCGTACGCACCCACCCATCCTGCTTGCACTCGCTGGCTTCATATCGGGCTTCGCAAACGCATATATCTGCACCTTTATAACCTATGAAAAGATTATATAAAGAAGCGATCTCACTGTGGTTGGATTATACAGGATTACTATATAGAGTACAAAACCAGGCTTCTATAAAAAAATTTGTAAAATGATGCAAAATTGTACAACTAAGCAAAAACAATGAGGCGCGTGACAGGAATGCGGTTTCGGCGCCCGCAACCCGCCTATCCCCGCGCTTCCCCTAGTGACCAATTACCGTTCCGACGTTCCCTCCCTGGTTCTAATAACCTGTTAACTGTCATGCGCCTCCTTGTTTTGGGTCACGTAGCATATCGGTGGCGCCGCGCCGCGCCGCTCCGAATCCAATAAATATGTAAACTTTAACTTTTTAAAAAGCGCTCTGAGCTTTAAGTCTACATCACCTGTACTTATTATGTCAGATAGATACTACCCATGTCAGTATCGGACAGTATAAATTAGTTGGGCAAGCCCAATGTATGTATGTCAAGACTCAGAGCACGCCACTACCACGGAATGAAATGTTGGTTTCACTTGTGGTGCTACCAGACATGTCCTATGATATAGGTACATATATGCTAATTAATCATATTTGACGACAGTACAATTTACATAAAACTACTAAATAGAAAATAAAATAAAACTGTTATCTTTTGTTATTACATACATAATACATAAACACTCACGCCTGTCACCCAGAGGGGTAGGCAGAGACTACGGACTTCCATTTGGCGCGATCCTGACACACCTCTCTCGCCTCCTTTACATCCATATATCTACGCATACACGCTCGTCGGTTAAGGGTACTCCTAATCCGGCCCATTTTCAATGTATCGCCGATTTGGTCGATAAATCTTCGTCTAGTGCGTCCCTTCCCGACGCTGAAGTTCACTTCTGCAAAATAAATTTGCTTTGTCAGTCTTTCCTCGTTCATTCTTTCTACGTGACCAAACCACCGAAGCATTCCTTTCTTAATCCTTGTCACAACGTCATCTTGCAAACCACACTTTTCTCTTATTACACTATTTCTCACCCTGTCATTCAGATTCAGCCCTAGCATACTCCTTAAGGAACGCATTTCTACAGCATTTATTCTACTCTCATGCTTCTTCTGCCAGACCCAACTTTCACTACCATACATTAAAGTAGGGACTAACACAGCATTATGAATTGCCATACGTGCCTTAGTTGACACATTCTGACTCCTCATAATAGCGTGTAGAGCCCCATTCACTCTATTTCCTGCGTTCACTCGTCGTTCTATATCCTTGTCATATCTACCATCCCTGCTTTTGTTATTATACCAACTAAGAACCGGAATTGTCAAATGGGGGTATTGATGAATGAGGTTAGCTGAGGAGAGTTCTTTAAGCCTATTAATGAAGGAGGCTGTGATAATGATAACCATATTATTGTAAACTATATTCCTATGTAAACTGTGTATGATTGTCATGACACCTATATTTTAGAGCTAATATGGCATTATTTTTATAGACGCCTGGAACGACAAGTGGAAGTGGAGAAAGAGGAGCGCATGGCCTTGCAACGCGTCAACCAGGATTTAGCTTCTGGTATCGCTGAGCGAGGCAATGCGGAACTGCGCGCTAAACAAGCTTATGTATCGGAACTACAAGCAGAAAAGGAATCATTGAAGGAAGAAGTCAATAGGTTGGAGTCCCGCCTTGTTGAGCTTCAGGCTGAAAATGCACGAGCCAATGCCGCCGCTGAGAATGCCCGCGCTCAACAGAAACATTATAAGGTATGTAATCAATTTTGCTTTAAATTGTCTTAAAAAAATCTCGTGAACTTCAAAATATCTAGTAAACTATTGTCAACAGCAGCATCTTGATGTTTGTTTGCCTTTTTCAATCCATCTGTTGTGATCTGTTTTAATTAATGCTGTTCACATCATATAACTAAATACGAAACTTCAACTCTGTACGGACACAAAATAACATTATCTTATGTGCAACACAAGACCTAATGTAAAAATATTACAATAATTTAAATGTATTGTCATTATTTATGCTGCGTGATAACGGTAAAAGATTTGGAAGACCTTATACCTCTTACGGGTGGTAGAGTACCTAATATACAGCCTATGCCCCTTGAGAAATACTTAGAGAGGCAGATATCATTAAAGGAGTGAGACGGCTGGTAGCCAATCTACCTGCCTTATGTGTTACAGCACAAGCTAAAGGAACTGAAACCTAAATCACATTTTCCTAGAAATTATGCATTCCACCTTAGTTGTCAGGGGTTGCAAACGTAACTTCATTTTAATTCTTATTCAAGGATAGACGATGTAAATGTCTTTGGGTCATCCACTTATCATCAGGTGGACTGTGTTCTCGTTTGTCACCCTTAATCTATAAAAAGAAAAACATGGAGCGTTGGCCGCTCCTCAGGGTGAACACCTTTTCCAGCGAGAAATATCCCCTATTCTTTCCATAGTCAAAAGGCCTATAGGTAGCAGTAAAATAATAGTTGTTTCGTTATTATATTAAATCATGTGAATTATCAGCTTGAAAGAGAAAATACCCAGCCCTCATTTTATATTCGCCAAAAGTTAGTGACCGTACGTAATTATTAAACTAAGAAAGAAATAGCACATTTTAAATTTAATAGTATTTAACAGGATATTATACAACATGCACAAGATTTGAGGCATAGGAGGCTCACGGAAATCAATGTTCGAGCTATTGTAAGTGATTGTATTTGCTTGTTTCAGCTGTAGCTGTTTGATGTAGTGGATATATCGTAGAAGATATTATCAGAGTTAATTTATAAGCGTACAATAGTTAGTAGCTTAGTAGTAGCATTATATTATTTATTGTAGAAAAATTAGCCATATTATAATTTACTCACAAATAACAATTGCGTTTACTTTAACACATTATTTGAACAGATTAACAATTAATAGACAAATAACTCAATCATTTAAGTTAGAAAAGTCACCTCTTATTATTACAATTAGCTGATTTAAACATCAATATAAATTGATTTAAAATTACCATTGGTTTATTTAAAAGTGTGTATCTATGTGTATTCTAGGAAAAATAATCAAGATCTGTGAACTAACAGGGATGATAATAATAATAATGTCCTCTAGACCGTGAGGTTGGCCATCTCAATGGAGACTAGCAGTGAAAGTAAGATTACTGTGCACGAGTGTGTGTGTGCGCGGTGCATTCTCTGTTTCGTCACTCCCATAATCCGATGATTCTGGGCTGCTATTGAGAATTTTTGACAAAAATCTAACAATTGACTTTTGGTTTGATCTGGTATTCAAAACCGTGGACCACATGTTTGGCAGACGCGCTTTCGTCCGGACCTTAATTCGTCACAAACATTTAAAAATACTACTAATTTAAACAAATGTTGATGGGCTTTCCAGGGTGTATGTAAAATAGACGCTATATGACTTGATATTGATGAATTTTATAGAAACACAGCATAATGTATTTTGTCTTATTCCCTATCCTATAGATGTATATTATTATATCTTGTTAATGTCGCTTTTTAGTTTCATCGAGTTGCAAATTATAACGATTTTAAGAACGTTTTTACTTCAAAGAGTTATCCTAAGATATGATATTCAATTGAAATTGTTTTGAATGTAATATTGTAATTAGAATGTATACAATTATACATATAATTGTGTTCGACTACATTGTATTTCTAATTTAAGTAATTTATATAAAATAATATTGTATGTTTATGATATGACTTTTTTAATATATAAAATTAACGTATGTTTGTTCATATTGTATTTGCTGGTATACTGTTCATCAGATTGCGGTAAGACTTTGTTAATTTATTGCTTGCACTTCCGCCAAGTTATAGGTATAGTACAAAAAACTTACAGTAGGTGGCGTTATCGTACTGACAAATTTATTTGAAAGTTATATAATCATGCAATTTCAATGAATGTATTATAAACAATATAACTCTTCCAAATTTAAAAACGATATTGCCGCAATTATTTTTTCTGCGGCAGCAATGTACCGGGTATCAGCTATGTTTTTTTAATAATTTATGTTTAAAAGTTAGATAATATAAAAATAGTTAGCCCTCTAGTGTCGTTATTCCCTTGCAGGGCGTCACATGTATACCTATCAATAATGTACCATGTTAAATTAGTAATGTGACATGCAGTAAACAATTGCAATGTTTTAGGATACGATAGCGAAGGAGCGCGCACTGCGTCGTCAAACGCTGAGCGGCGGCGAGGGTGATGGAGCGCGGGTGGCGAGCGCCGAGGCCGCGGCGGCGCGCGAGGCGCGCCTGCGCACGCACGCCGAGGCGCGCCTGGCCGCCGCCGACGCCGAGGCCGACGCCACGCGCGCGCAGCTGGACGACGCGCGCGCACAACTAGCTGCTGCGCAGGTTATTGTTCATCACTGCCTTTTGCCCTTATATATATATATGATGGCTTCATCATCATCATTACAGACCTTCACAACTTTAGTCTCTACTAGGACTCTACAAGGCCTCCCCCAAGGAATGCGACAAAGCGCGTTCCTGAGCCACTTACATCCATCGACTTCCTGCTTGTCTTACCAGGTCGTCACTCAAACTAATGGGGGGTGTACTTCGCCTACCGGTACAAGGCTGCCATTTGAGAACTTTTTTCCCACATTTTTTACCCCTTCGAGCTATATTGAATTTTAACTATAGAAAAGTATTTAATAACTAGAATATTTTAAAATGTTTTCCATCTGTACATGTATACCGTTACAGTCTATTAAAGTCCACTACTGAACATAAGCCTTCCCCATATATTGCCCCACAGTGAGTATATTTTCCATAGTTGCTACACTAGACAAGCAGGTTAGCAACCGCAATTTTTTTATTTTTAACCTTTATTAGGAATACACTGATGCCCATCTCCTGATTTCTTTCTCTCTATCGTCTCTTACAACAGCCAGGGAATGATATTCTTACATGGGGTAGTAGATATTCTTACACCTTCACTACATTTATTTAATTATGAAAGAAATAAAATAATTATTTCATTACATTTAAGCCATTATTTTATTTTATCATCGTTGTACAACCCTAACGCGTACGCTAGATAACGCATCCATACAAAATTCACGCGACGGGTAAAGGTATCCTCATCTCCAGGTCACGCATCACGCATATAGAAGGTGTATTTCTGCTTGCAGCTAACGTTTGAGATTATTATTAATATTTTGTAGAGTATTATACCGTAGGTATTTTCGCTTTTGTATGGGAAAAATGTATCTGTTACGAAATAATTGTTATCTAATTTGTGCCACTACATGGTAAATACATCTATACATATACATACAAATAAAATGGAAGTGTATGTCTGTAATATCGAAATAACTGGCTTCTATTAGTCTCAGGGAGTTATTTGCGTGCTTTGAAGATATGAATAACCCTTTTTAAATTTTTGCTGATCTGTCTGTCTGTCTATCCGGACTAATCTTTAAAATCACTGAACCGATTATTAAGATTTCACAAATATATAGATAGCAATCCAACCAGTCCTAGGCTGTATTTTATCCGAAAAACTTAAGCATTTTTTTTTAAAATAAAATATATATATATATATATTTTATTTAAAAAATATATATATATATATATATATATATATATATATATATATATATATATATTGGTTTTAAATGTAAACATATATACTGTAACTTTATAATATGAAGAAGTTTTAATCTTATTTACAACTGTATTTTTTTTAAAGAGAAATACAAAGCTAATAAATATATAAAACAATTTTATTTGGAAAATACTTTTAGGAAGCCCTGAAGGAAAAGCGGCGCACATCAGAGGCAGCGATGCAACAGTTGAACGAAGTGCAATTGCAACTGACGCAGGAGCGTATGCAAACAAAATCTCTACTTGCACAAGTTCAGGTAATAAATTAATATTTATTACTTGTGTCTATCTTCTCTGCCTCATAAAATAAATGTTCTTATCTAATAATTAACCTTTTTTTTAAACATGAAATATAACGTTATTGAAATATAAAGTTTGTTTGTACGCAAGCAACTTTCATACTTTAAAAGTTCTGCAAGCATGTGTTCTATTGTCAAAACTAAATAGAATAATACATTTAATTTATTATAGTTTCTATTCGATTCTAATTAGAATAATACATTGTATATAATATAGCCATCATAAAGTAGTAGAATAAATTCATGTGTTTTTAGGAGCTCGAGCGTGGCGTGGAGGAAGCTGCGCGTCGCGAAGCGGCTTTAGAGGAGCAGTGCGCGCGCACCGAGGCGCGCCTGCGGGAGCGCCTGGAGGAGGCCGAGGCGCGCGCCTCCGCCGTGCTGCACGACGACTCGCACCTCAGGGAGAAGGTACGATCATCATCCTCACCATCATCATTTGTTTAGAGGAGCAGTGCGCGCGCACCGAGGCGCGCCTGCGGGAGCGCCTGGAGGAGGCCGAGGCGCGCGCCTCCGCCGTGCTGCACGACGACTCGCACCTCAGGGAGAAGGTACGATCATCATCCTCACCATCATCATTTGTTTAGAGGAGCAGTGCGCGCGCACCGAGGCGCGCCTGCGGGAGCGCCTGGAGGAGGCCGAGGCGCGCGCCTCCGCCGTGCTGCACGACGACTCGCACCTCAGGGAGAAGGTACGATCATCATCCTCACCATCATCATTTGTTTAGAGGAGCAGTGCGCGCGCACCGAGGCGCGCCTGCGGGAGCGCCTGGAGGAGGCCGAGGCGCGCGCCTCCGCCGTGCTGCACGACGACTCGCACCTCAGGGAGAAGGTACGATCATCATCCTCACCATCATCATTTGTTTAGAGGAGCAGTGCGCGCGCACCGAGGCGCGCCTGCGGGAGCGCCTGGAGGAGGCCGAGGCGCGCGCCTCCGCCGTGCTGCACGACGACTCGCACCTCAGGGAGAAGGTACGATCATCATCCTCACCATCATCATTTGTTTAGAGGAGCAGTGCGCGCGCACCGAGGCGCGCCTGCGGGAGCGCCTGGAGGAGGCCGAGGCGCGCGCCTCCGCCGTGCTGCACGACGACTCGCACCTCAGGGAGAAGGTACGATCATCATCCTCACCATCATCATTTGTTTAGAGGAGCAGTGCGCGCGCACCGAGGCGCGCCTGCGGGAGCGCCTGGAGGAGGCCGAGGCGCGCGCCTCCGCCGTGCTGCACGACGACTCGCACCTCAGGGAGAAGGTACGATCATCATCCTCACCATCATCATTTGTTTAGAGGAGCAGTGCGCGCGCACCGAGGCGCGCCTGCGGGAGCGCCTGGAGGAGGCCGAGGCGCGCGCCTCCGCCGTGCTGCACGACGACTCGCACCTCAGGGAGAAGGTACGATCATCATCCTCACCATCATCATTTGTTTAGAGGAGCAGTGCGCGCGCACCGAGGCGCGCCTGCGGGAGCGCCTGGAGGAGGCCGAGGCGCGCGCCTCCGCCGTGCTGCACGACGACTCGCACCTCAGGGAGAAGGTACGATCATCATCCTCACCATCATCATTTGTTTAGAGGAGCAGTGCGCGCGCACCGAGGCGCGCCTGCGGGAGCGCCTGGAGGAGGCCGAGGCGCGCGCCTCCGCCGTGCTGCACGACGACTCGCACCTCAGGGAGAAGGTACGATCATCATCCTCACCATCATCATTTGTTTAGAGGAGCAGTGCGCGCGCACCGAGGCGCGCCTGCGGGAGCGCCTGGAGGAGGCCGAGGCGCGCGCCTCCGCCGTGCTGCACGACGACTCGCACCTCAGGGAGAAGGTACGATCATCTTCCTCACCATCATCATTTGTTTTCTTTTTTTTTTAGAAATGTTACCAATACGCTAAGATTTTCTGATGTATCGTGGAAGCAATTTACAAACATTAATTGCACAAGGGCCTACTTCCAGACCCGGAATAATTATTTGTAGGCCATATAAATACTTGTTTCGTGTGGGATTCGAACCCGGGACTACCACAGAGTTGTCAATACTGTTACAGTTTATCAAAGTCCTCTGCTGTACATAAGTTTTCCTATAGATATATTTGTTTTATCCCAATAGAGGATATTTGCCATAATTGTCATGCTTTCCAGGCTGGTTGGCGACCGCAGTTTTTTGTTATTTTAAGTTGTTATCAGGAAGATGCGGCTGCCCATCTTTTGTTTAATTTTCTTTTGTCGCCTCTTACGACTCCCAACAGATGATATAAGGTAGTTGACATTCTTACGTCGTTGGTAAATGAGTACTTAATAATAAATATATCTCTGTTTTAATAAAACAATTTACAAAAGATAACATTATGTATTTGATGATTTAAAAAAATCCCAAAACAGTATATAATTTTATATGGAGTCAGAGAAATGTCACAAGAAATATAATATTAAGGAATATTCAATTTTATATATTCCTAAATTTTTGCGGTGAGCAGTCAATATTATTGTATTGTTGGTTATCAACATAATCATTATTGTAAGCCTGTAAATTTAGTTGTGATAAACATTGGTCTTTTGGTCTTTTGGTTTGTAGATTGACCTGAAATTTCCTGAAAGTACAACTATTTTGACACACACAAATCGACAGAGAAGTTTTAAATAATTTTTAAAATGAAAATTTATTTTAGGTTAATAGTTTGGAGCAGTTGGTCCGTCAACTGGAACGCGAAGTGAGCGCATTAGAGAAACGCACGTGCGCGGAGTGCGCCGCGCGCGCACTAACGAACGCGGAGGCGGAGGCGGCGGAGAGCGAGCGCGTGCGCGGCGAGGGCGGCGAGGGCGGCGACCGCAGCGACACCGAGAGCGTGCCCGACGTGCAGGCGCACGCGCACGCGCACGTGCACGTCAGCTTGTTGAAGGAGCAGCTGGAGCGCGCCGAGGCTCAGCTGCAGGTGCGCCACTCACACCGGACCCTCCAACAAAATAATATACTCATTTTATTTATTCACGTAAAACATTCAAATTAATGTCTGACCGAAACAGGATTTTCAACCGAAAACGAAAAAATAGTTACGGCGCCGCCGAAAGTTTGGCACATTTTTTCTCGAAACCGAAACTATTACCGAAACTAGATTTTTTTGTCGAAACTTGCCGAAACCAAAACCGAATCTTCCGTCGGTCACTATTTAAAATTGCCGTCTACCATTTATTTATTACTTAAAACTGCCGAACATACCTTTCTGTTAGTGAGCAGGTTTAGCCAAAGTATAACTTTATATATGGCTCTAATAATAATTTTCTTTTATCACACCTACGAACATGATATAATAGCAAATTTTCTTACGTTGTAAACTTTTCAAAAATGTTGACATCATGTCAACCATGGAGTTAATTCGCAATTTCATCAGCCCGTAAAGTCCATTACTGCACATGGCCTTCTCCCATAATATGGATTTTGTCTATATGTACACGCTTCACAGGCAAGCTGAAAATAGCGCTTTCACTTTACGTTAATTCTTATTTTACCGTCATTCATTGGGGACTATAACATCTTTCAGAAATTTTTGTAAGTATCTTTTTACGGAACTCACGGGACAACATAAATAGATGAATTTTCTTACACTGGTGCAAACAGCAAAAAAGAGCTATAGAAATAAATTTAAATAATTAGCATTATTACATTCATAAATTTTTACAATTCATTATAACTATAAAAGTTTCTGAAATCAACAATTATTATAATTTAAAATAAAAATATTTTGCATAACTTTAAATTTACAAAGAATCATCCATCGGGTACATAATTTAATAAAACAAGGAAAATAGACTTACTTAAAATTTTAGAGCTCAATTCTAATTTAATTGTCTCCCTTTTGTGCTTCTATCCTTCAAACATTCTTCTATTCTAAGACACAAAATAATTGTTATAAATTTGTCCTACATAGGCTCGAGCCGAAGAAATTGCAACATTGCGTCAAGAAACTCGCGCAGCTAATTTAGCAAGATGGCGTAAGGTAATGTATTAGTTTACTGTCTATACTTTATTAACTTTATGAATTTTTCTTAACACAAATGCACAATAGACTGATGATTATGTTTTTGTAGTCTTCACAAGAATATTATATGCACATTGTTGGGTGATCCCCACTAGGTGGAGTAACGACCTGATGAAATAATACGCAGGTAGTCGATGAATGCAGGTGGCTCAGGACTATACTTTGTGGCAATCTATGGGGGAGATCTATATTCAGCGGTGGACTGCAGTATTCTAATTATACAAGAAAGTAAACATTACTTAGGAACTCTTAATAACAAGCATCACAATGTAACTAAAATAAATATTTTACGTAACAGTGAAGTCCGTGCGTTTTATCTTGACCGGGCTGAAGTTAGCTCTCCAAGGTATTCGCGTATGTACGAAATCCGACCATGGCGACCTAGCGAGGCATCGTTAGAGATATGCCACTCTATATTCGCTCATAAGATTGCTTAGTTTTATATCGATTAGAATAAATTGAACATTATATTCTAATCGATATAAAACTAAGCATTTGAGCAAAGCAGCAGAGCATAAAAACAAGCAAGATTATGAAAATATGTTTATGTAGGTAAGTAACGTAAAAGTTCATAACTTTAAATTTTTCAATAAACTATTTAATGCACAGTATCATCATCACTGTATTAAAATGACATGTTTACACACCAAATAAAAAGAAATAAAAAATTAAATCGAATCATATTTGATAATAAAGATGGTATGTACGTAATTAGGTACCGCCTACACTCCCCCCTTCTTGTCACCACTTTGTTTTTAAAAACTATCTGCGCAGGCAACGGTAACGGTGGTAGAGCCCTGCAGCAGTTTTTTGCTGTTGCACGTATGGGCCGGCTCGAGCCGGGTTGGTACCACGACCTCACAGAATACCGGCGTGAAGTAGAGGCTCTGCTTCTGCGTTTCGTCTGGTGAGTGCAGGTGGCCGGAGGCCCAATTCCCCCCCCCCCCCCCCCATCAACATGGTAGCGGAATTAGACAATAGACTACCCCAGGAGGGTACCAGTACCCCTGGAGAATCCCTCGCTGAGCATCCACGACCATGTTATTCCAATCCTGAGCGTGGGTGCTCAGGCTGCCCTGCGTATTCTGGGGGGGGCAAAATTCCGCTCAAAAACAAAACTGCTCGGGGCAAGCTGAGCAACAATACCAAGGCGACCCCTGCCACGCTATCCGTGAATTTCTGCCGTGAAGCACTCCTTTGTGCCTCGGGCTGGAGTTTGCGTGTATGTTAGAGAGGACATCTGTTCTCGACGCCTCGGCAGTCTTGAAGGTTCGGACCTGTCCATCCTTTGGCTACGCGTAGACAGCGACGACCATCCGCGCGTCTACGGGTGCCTCTATAGGTCCCATAGCGGTAATGCCGAAACAGACCGACTCATCGACCACGTCCAAATGGCTACAGATTCCTTGCTACAACAGGTCCCATCCGCAGAGATCGTGATCCTTGGCGATTTTAACGCCCACCATGCCGAATGGCTCGGTTCACGTTTAACCGATCATGCGGGGAGATCTGTTTATGACTTTGCCTTGGCATATGGTCTGACACAACTGGTTACTTCGCCTACGCGGATTCCAGATGTGGAGGATCATACACCTTCCCTGTTGGACCTTCTGCTGACCTCTCATCCGGACGGATATCAGGTTTCCGTCGATGCCCCTCTCGGCTCTTCGGACCATTGTCTGATCCGGAGTATGGTGCCACTCACGCTCCCTTTGCGGTTGCGTTCTGCAGGTTGCCGCCGTGTTTGGCATTACAGGTCGGCGGATTGGGACGGAATGCGGTCTTTCTTTGCATCCTACCCATGGGGGCGGGTTTGCTTCTCGCCGGATGATCCCAGTGCTGTTGCTGACTCTGTCAATGATGTGGTGCTACAGGGAATGGAACTATTTATTCCATCATCTGTGGTACCCATCGGAGGCAGATCTCAGCCTTGGTTTGGTCGCTCCTGTAAGACTGCATTGCGCAGTAAGCAGGAGTGTTATCAAGCCTGGGCTGCGGCTTCGGTGACTCGGGATGTAAACACCAGCACACTTAAAAAGAAGTATAACTTCGCCTCCAGGTCCTTCAAAAGAGTTATTGCCAAGGCAAAGTCAGAGCACATAGGCAGAATTGGCGAGAAACTAGTTCGCCTTCCTTCGGGAACCCGTGCATTCTGGTCTCTCGCCAAGGCTGTCCAAGGGAATTTCTGTAAGCCATCACTACCATCTCTGCACAGGGAGGACGACTCACTGGCCCAAGACGCAAAAGACAAAGCCGACCTTTTAGGCTCCCTTTTTGCGTCCAACTCGACTCTTGATGACGGGGGGAAAATACCACCGACCATCCCGCGGTGTGAGTGCTCCATGCCGGATGTGCTATTCTCACAGCGCTCAGTTCGCAAAGCACTTCTCTCCCTGGACATCCAGAAGTCGAGTGGGCCTGACGGAATCCCCCCAATTGTGCTGAGGACGTGTGCTCCGGAGTTGGCACCGGTCCTAACGCGTCTTTTCCGGTACTCCTACTCCCAAGGCGTAGTCCCGAATTCATGGAAGACAGCTTTTGTCCACCCGATCCCTAAAAAAGGCGACCGCTCAGACCCGTCCAACTATAGGCCTATCGCGATCACCTCCTTGTTCTCCAAAATAATGGAATCCATTATTAACTGCCAGCTCATCCGGTACCTTGAGGATCACCAGCTGATTAGTGACCGCCAATACGGTTTTCGTCGGGGTCGATCAGCTGGTGATCTTCTGGTCTACCTGACCCATAGATGGGCGAAGGCAGTAGAGTCCAAGGGGGAGGCGTTGGCCGTTAGTCTGGACATTGCGAAGGCCTTTGATCGGGTTTGGCACAAAGCGCTTCTTTCGAAGCTGCCTTCCTATGGGCTTCCCGAGAAATTGTGCAATTGGATCACCAGCTTTCTTGCAGATCGGAGCATCAAGGTCGTTGTAGACGGTGCATGTTCTGACTACAAGCCTATTAACGCTGGTGTTCCACAAGGCTGTGTGCTATCACCAACGCTGTTTCTTCTGCATATCAATGATATGTTGCTAACTGGTAACATTCATTGCTATGCGGATGACAGCACTGGTGATGCTCTATACACCGGCCGGGCCAATATTTCTCGGGAAAACGTCGCCGAGTACCGGAACAAACTTGTGTCTGAAGTCGAGTCTTTGCTGGACAAAGTCTCGGATTGGGGGCGACTAAATCTAGTCCAGTTTAATCCTCAGAAGACACAAGTTTGCGCGTTTACCGCTAAAAAGAACCCCTTTGTCGTATCTCCTCAGTTTCAAGGCACTCCCCTTCTTGCCTCAGCCAGTATCGGTATCCTCGGAGTCGACATATCGAGTGACGTGCAGTTTCGTGGTCACTTGGAAGAGAAGGCCAAATTGGCCTCTAAAAAGCTTGGCGTGCTCAGCAGAGCGGGACAGTATTTCATGCCGGCACACCGCCTGCAACTTTACAAGGCGCAGGTTCGGCCTCACATGGAATACTGTTCCCATCTCTGGGCAGGGGCTCCCCAGTGCCAGCTCCTTCCACTTGACCGCATCCAGCGCAGAGCGGCTCGAATCGTCGACGACCGAGCCCTTTCCGATCGGCTCGATTCATTGGCACTGCGAAGAGATGTTGCATCTCTTTGCATTTTCTTTCGCATCTACCATGGGGAGTGCTCTGAGGAATTGTTCGGATTAATCCCAGCCGCCAAATTTCACGAACGCACATCGCGGCAGAACTCCCGATACCATCCACACCATCTGGATGATTGGCGGTCCACCACTGTGCGATTTAGAAGATGTTTTCTTCCTCGCACAACTTCCTTGTGGAATAGTTTACCACCAGAGATTTTTCCGGACCGATACGACTTAGGGACCTTCAAGAAAAGAGCCTACTCCTTTTTAAAAGGCCGGCAACGCATCTGCAATTCCCCTGGTGTTGCGGTTGTTCATGGGCGGCGGTAGTCACTTACCATCAGGTGAGCCGCATGCTCGTTTGCCCCCTCTCCTATAAAAAAAAAAAAAAAAAGGCAATCGCGTCTAACTTCAGCCCGGCCAAGATAGAAAGCGGATTTAATTTTTAAACAAAAGTAGTAAACATTGGTAACAATTCTCAGAAAATTGCATTGAACGCATTTAATTAAACATCATAGTTTTTTTTGTAATATAAAACTGCAGTGACAAACAAACTTACAGTTCACCTGATGGTAGGTAGCTACTTCAATCCTTGAAAACATGCAACTAACCACATATAAAGAAGGCTTAGAAGGCTTACTTTGTCATCTCTGAGAATAAAGATGTACCTCCGGAACACAGCAGTGTAAGTGTAAGCATTGCCATTTGGCGGCAGGAATGGGTAACAAAGTGGTGCCTGCCAAACGGACTCCTAGCCAGAATAGGAGTACACCACCACATAGTAAATACAATCTAATATAATATAATCTATAATATCTTTCTTGAAGTACAAATATTTTACAGGAGCGTGAATATAATGAGTTATCGATGGACGCAAAAGCAACGGCTCGGGAGTTGAAACGTGCTGAAGAGCGTCTCTCTGCAGTGTTAGAGGCTCGCAAGGCGGCCGAACAGAAAGTCTCTGCACTGGAATCAGAGATTAATTTACTACGGCCGGAACACCAGCAGGCGAATGCAGAACTCATCACCTTAAGGGACAAACTGGCGAAGCTGCAGAAGGACCATGAAGTTCTGCAGAATGAAGTAGATAGGTATCATTTTAGTTACTTTATAATTAATAAAATCAATTCGCCATGCAAATCTTTAAATATTTAAACTACATTTGCAGTTAGCTAGCTATCGCAGAGTATATTTATATTATCAGATAGTGCCTTGTTTTGAGACAAACACAGTATTCGAAAGTATCTTCGTTGTGGTTGTCGTGGTCTTAAATGTGGTGTGTAATCATGCAGAATGTAATGTTACTGTAAATAAATGTAAATGTTGGCGGTGTTGAAAGTGGTGCTATTCAAACCACCTAAGATATAATATTGTGTTTTTAATACAGACTTAATAAATTAACGAAATTACCCTTATTATTAAGATGTATTGATTTCAAATGCCATTTACTTCCGAATGCAATAAAACAAAAAATATAAAGGAGCATGTATAACGAGATTTTGTCCATAGTATACGTGCCGAAACAAACCTGTTTGTTTTTTCCTTGCGAGGAAATAGGCAGGAAGACTCGCCTGCTGCCTATAAATTTGAAGGTGATTTTTGTAGCCGTTTAGGTAGCTCTACCACGTATAAATCCACAACCGCGCTCCTTGTTCCATCCACAATTATGAAATCTATCATGCTTCTATTTTTTTTTGTGCTTTTCCATGTATACATATGCATTATCTTATGACGAAAATGGTGAACTAAAATTTTCATTAAAATTAATCTGTACGTAATTGTTTGGATGTTACAGATCGCGTAACGATATTCGCAAGTTAAAGAGTGAGTTGCAATACAGCGAAAAGCGCCGTCTTCACGCCGAAGAACAGGAGGAACTGTCGAGTCGGGAACGCGCGCAACTCCGCGACGAGCTGACTACTCTCCGGACACAAAACAATGACCTAGTAATGGTTGGTAAATATAGTAATATAATTTCTAAGTAATAAGCTTGTATCTTAGGTAACAATACTATTTCTTAAAGGACAGGTTTTCAAATTTTTTATTTAAATTTACTAGAAACTGCGTATACATATGAACAATATTATTTTTAAGTATTTAAAATGCTTTGTGGCATTCCTTGGGGGAGGCCTATGTTCAGCAGTGGACTTATGAAAGGCTGTAATGATAATGATGATGTAAAATGGGTGCGAAGTAAGGTTGTTAATAGGGATGGGAATTCCACTTCCTCTTCATCTCGCATATTTATTAATTGCATACATATCATATAATAAGACAACAAAACATAAAATCTTATCGTATTTGCTAAGAAATAAGGGCCTTTTTTACAGAGAAGTACAGTAGACTGATAGATTTTCCCGTTATTCTTCAATGACTTTCAACTAGCATTTAGCCCTTGACTTGAGCCCGTAAATGATCCAATACTGAGTATAGGCTTCCTATGAATGAAGGATTTTAGAGATAATTTTTTTGCATTTAAACAACAAAATTGCCTCCTACGATACTCACGGGAAGAGATAGAGTAACCGATTCTCTTACAACGCTACCACATGGGGGTGGATGAATATTTTATTATTATATTGAAATAACTATTTTTAATAATTATTTAATCTGATAATATATTTTCATTAAAGATTTATTTATTATTTTTTACTGTGTTTGTTAAATATGCATATAACAAAGAATAATATTTTATTCTTATGGTTATTGTAATAAAATACGTATATAAATAATAAAAACAAGTTAAGTAGTAAAGAACCTTTCACTACGGCGCAGCGCTTCGTTTTAAAATGCCAAATTCGCCTTCGGGTGTACGCCGCACGCGGCGACTTTAGATGTCGCGGCGGCGCCTTTGACAAAATGCGGCACATGCCAAGGCGCTGCGACTCAAAGGCTACCGTATTTAAGCGTCTAAGCGATTATACTATACGTACATATTATAAAAAATGTAAAATGCAATAAATTCATAGGAAATCAAATTGAACTTTATTTTCGAATTACCAAGTCGAACAAATCGAGATTCTTAGACGAGTCGTAATTAGTTCAATTACGCATTACGATATTTACATACCACTAATAGCGAAATGAAAATATTTTTATATATATGTACTACGGTGTTTATTAGAATAGAATAGAATGATTTTTATTCAATATTGATCATTACATAATACTTATTGAAAGTCATTTTTTATTTACCATTGGTTCGGAAAATTCCTTTGTCCTGGGAAAAACCAGCAAGAAACCCAGCGGGACTTTTTTTTTAAACATAATTTCACTTGACAATAATTTTGTTTATACAATTTTAAATGAATTTTCATAGAACCAGCATGGTGGCGATCAATTTATTCCCAGAGGTTATTTTCATTCATGTATTCCTTGATATTATAATAACCCTTTTTGTACAGTTTTTCTTTAATAAAACTTTTAAACTTGTTTATTGACAAACTTTGAACATGTTCTGGGATTTTGTTGTAAAAGCGTATACATTGCCCCATAAATGAATTACTGATTCTGTGGAGTCTAGTAACTGCCATTACAAGATTATATTTGTTCCTAGTGTTTAAGGTATGAACATCCTTATTCTTATTAAAGCTGTTTATGTTTTTATGTTGTTTATTGTTTACATAAACAAGTGGTCAGATGATTCCGTTCATCAATGCTTTAATGTATTGTGTATTTTAAATGTTTGTAAACATTGCAGTCATCTTTAGCCCACGATTCCATTGTTAACTTATATTAATTTCAAAGAAACGCGAGTATCGGACGTGTTCTAAAAATATGTTAATAATATTTTAGAAAAGCTTTTAAAATGAAAATGTATATAATACATTACGTAGTAAAAATAGCTTCTTGATGTTCTCTTTTATATTTTAAAATACATGAAAATTGCGGATAAAAAGAATACCGTATAAAGCTACCTTCGCGATGGAGTCTCTTCAGAATCGTTGTAAACTTAAAGTAACAGGAGAGAAACCGGTCGTGAAACCCAAACCCGCATATCTTAAAGTCGCGGGACCTAACCCGTGGACACAACGTATGCGGTTAGCATTAGCTGCGGACTTGCTACGGGGTCGTTGCCGCGCTGTCGATACCACACTTGCAGCCATACACACTCATTTAAGAACGGTATAATATTCGAAATCATTTACTCGACTTCAAAAAGTGTTAAAATAAATTTAAAATGGTTAACGAAGTAGAACAACGGCAAGGAAGTGTCATCTACATTACTTAAATGTATTTTTATATTTATATTTCAGAATAATAAGGCTTTACAAGAAGCTTGCAGTTTATTAGAAGATCAACTAACAGAATTAGAGAAGTTAACAGACCTGCATGAAATTAAAAACAAAGATCTCGAGGTGAGTTTAATCCTATTTTTCATTATAGTGTGCACTAATCTTAAAAAAAACTATAATTGTTGTCCCACGCGGATTATATTGAAATTTCTTTCGATACTGCCGCTATCCCATTTAGGGAGATATTATTATTATTATTAGGTACCAAACCAAATTACAAAAATAAATAATATCATCCATTGTTTTTTGAATTCATGTATCTTCATATGGAAATTGGCACTTTTAAATCATTTTGCTATAATTGGAAGAAGTGCGCGCGATTGAGGGAGGGTGGAAGGTCCCCTTAAAACTGGGCAGGACACATAATTTTCTTTCTTTACGCGGAATTAAGCAAATTAGTTTATAACAACCCCATTATCAAATTTTTCTTAATTAACATGTTTCGAACTGAACCTAGACTAAAATTATGGCTAAAAAGCATAAAAATTGTGAATTAGCATCCGAAAAAGAATTATTATCTTTCTGCTAAACACTTCACAGACTACTGTTTTATTAGACACTAGCTGTGCCCCGCGGTTTCACCCGCATCATGACGTGTCCGAGGTGCGCGACATGACCTAGTTCAAGCATTTTATAACGGCTAGGGTTTAAACGTCGTTCGCGCGACCAGCCAAGTATTGAATTATTTTAATTTTACATTATCTCTTAAACTATGCGTCCAAATAACATGGTATAAAGAACAAAGTTTATCTTCATAAAATTGTCTTGATGATGAAGTAACTTTCGTTCGTAAGGATAAATAGGCCATGCCCAATAATAACGCTCATAAATCACTTTTAAATTATCAATATTTTTTTTTGTCACAAAATACCAAATTATGGCTTATGTATAAGAAATAGACATATGGTATCGCGGACTTTTTTTTAGACAGAGTAAAGGTCTATATTTTTCTAGAACATTGTATTTACGTATCCCTAACGATAACACCAGCGTACGCGGATAAAAAATCATTTCGGGAGCGCTTTTTCTTCTGACTTGCTTAACAAATATCCATATTTAAGGCTAGCTGAGTAATATAGCTTAATTCTAGATAGCCTATACTGTTTCACGTGAATCTGGCTATAATATACAAAAAGAATTTTTCAAATCGGACTGGTAGTTCCAGAGATTAGCGCGTTTAAACAAACAAAAAAACTAAAAAGCTCTTCCGCTTTATTATATTAGTATAGATGAGAAATGCACCACTTTGAAAAAGTGCAGTATACCCACAATATTTTCTGGTAGTACCAGTACCAGTAAGTTATATATTTTATTGGATTATCATTTCGAATGTTTTTTATTTCTTCTCTTCTTATTTCCTCCTAGATCCAAAGGCCATAGCCAAGTGTAGAAAGGTCGCCTGATGATGACTTTGTGTTTACTAAACGTAAATTTGTTGAGCCGTTGGAAATGTGTTAGTGGGCTGCGGCTAAAGGAGAGTCCTGTCCCTATATCACTTCAGCGATGCGCCACTCTACTATCCTCCGCGACTTTGGTGGGGCTATACCACTTGGTGCTGGGGTAGTCTGTTGTGCAGGTGGAGTTGGAGTACGCGAAGGGCAGTGTGCCTTGTGTTCCTGGTATCCCTTATCTAAGAAGGAAAGGGGGAAGATAAGTCCTCAACTAAGGAGGGGCCGCTATTGGGCGGCTGGCGCTGGTGGAGCCGCGGATGTGTTTGAAAGCGTTTCCGTGGCCCTGCCAATGTGCGGCGAAGGTGGAACACCATGTGGTTTTAGTTGGTGCGAGTCCGACATAGTCCGTTCTTGCCCCCGGGAAGCGGGTATGCGTAGGCATTTCCTCATTTGAAACCCGGAACGAAATCCGTTCTATAGTACGAATAAAACGTAGATAAACCAACGACCAAATACAAAGAGGAGCTGGCATATGGCTGTGCACTGTGATTCTAACTAGGTCCTGACGTCATCCCAGTGGGCGTGGCTTTACTTAGTATACTGTCAGCGTTCGTCCTGTGCGCTTATGTGTCGAAAATCGCAAATCTGTGTATTTTCGTAGTATTAAGAAGAAAAAGATGAAGTGTTGTGTTTTATCGTGTAAAAGTAGTCAGATCTGATGCTATGGATGGCATCACATTTCATTTGTAATTTTATACCTAATTTATTAAAAAGGTTCTAGAAAAATATCTCCGTCTTCTGTCAAATGTAATTAAATATATTCGACACTAGATGGGGACACTTCGTGTCATGGGAACTAAAACTATAAAGATTCGTAGAGCTCAGTATTGGTAAAATAGTCATACGAAATGTTTGTGTTTTGCATTTAGTCCTTAAGAATTTTTAATCGCCAAAATATTATTTTTATATTTTTTATATATAGGCCGCATAGTCAGAATAGGTACCTTACTTACCATTTCGCAATGTTTTTTTTTTACTCTTTTTTAATAGCCCTTAGTTACCACGGAAAATCCGCTGTGAACGTAGAAGGGAAAAGATGCAAAGTAATGCGGGCGCTCACGCGAAGCGACAAAGTTTTATATATATTTCGTGCGCGATTTATCTAATTAATAACAATTATGTAGGCTATTAAAACGTCAGCAAACAGTCAAAGGAGTGCAACTTCTGTACGTAGTACTATTATTTATTCTGTAGTAACAGGTGAACGGAGGAGAAGCCTACCCAAGCAGCACACAAGCGTTATGAACATCAATATACTAGCCCATATAGAAATTAGAGTTCTATTAGAAGCGTATAAGAGTGTCGAAAACAGAGTGTATACTTATAAGAGTGGCTTATGAGTTAGTATACAGCTCAAGCTGTATAAAGTCTGTATTATGGGATCTAAGTAAGCTTAGGGTTCGTAATCAGAATATGAAAACTCTACTATACAGCTTTAAGTATTTTGTTACACTTCAATCTGATTTTATCATTAAAGCTGTATAGAAGCTGTTTTTGCATGCTGTCACTTGCTTATTACAGCTTTAAGTGTTATAATAGTATCATTCAAATATTATTTCTGTACAATGGTGTATGTGAACTCCCTTCTAAAACTTATTCTTATGGCGTAATTGTACACTCTTGTAAATACAGTAGTTTTATAACTTCTGTCTATGAGAGTGATATAAAACTAAAAAAATAAATAACAGCTATAGTACAGATTAAGTCTGTATAAGTGATAGAATATCGCCATTTTGAATGCGTAATTGCGTGTTTAATATATTGTGCTATAGTGAACAAATAAATTTGTTATGAATATGTGTAAAAAAAAGATTTGGTGCAGTTAGAGGAAGGATTAAAAGGAAATATTTAAATATTACAAATTATCAACGTAATAATAGTGATACTGAAGAATATAGAAATACTTTAATAAATCAGACAAGCTACAGTCAAGCGTCAATCCCATCGACGGCTAACAAAGAGGGTTCCGTAACAAAATTTAAACATGATCACAGTTATGTCAAATGTAACTTAGTTTTCGGCACCTGATTATGATGATTTATCATGCACAGCACAAGTAGTTCAAATGATAATAAACGCGAATTTTCCAAAAATATATTTATTTTGCTAGCAAATTGAAGAATTGGGCCACAGAAAGAAATATATCTTAAGTAGCTTTAAATGATTTATATTATTTATATAATGATATTTGTTCAACAGTTAGGTGATATGATATCGTAAATCAAAACATAACTGAGTTTCTCTGTAATAAAAATTTTATGTTAGTTAACATGTTTGTTTAGTACTAATTACAAAATATAATATTCTATTTACTATAAACCTTACCTCAAAGATGTTTTATAGGTACCGTGTTGCTAACACACCGCAACGTTCATAGTGAAGACAGTCTTTGATTCATGTGTGCGTGAGTACCACGTGACGCGCATATCTTACGCACCATGGCTGCATTAATATGCGTAACTTCGGTAATAGCAGTGCGAATCGATTACCCAAAAAATGTGGGAGATTTTATATTTCATTCCTATTGACGTACCTATTGATTCTAAGAGTATAAAATGTGTGTGCGTGGCGTGTGCATTTGTGTGTGTGTGTGTATGGGGATATGGTTGCTTATGTGTGTTTTATGTAGGTACGAACATCGCACTAATATATTGAAGATATGTAATAAAACCTATAATTAATGTAACAGTTAAAATAAATAAAAAAGCACAGTAGATATTTATGTATGTAACATATATTTATAATCTATTATTACTAAATATATACAGAGTACTACACTGTTGTACTGTAGAACCCAAAATATTGCCGATTTTTACGAAGATATTAAATTATTTTTCAATCCTAAGAAAAATGACGAAAAAAAGTAAGTTTGGTTAAGCGTAAACTTCAGCCAAGAGATAGCAAAATGTTTAATTTTTTTAAATTGCTCCGTTCCGTTGCTGCGTGAAGGAAGGATAAAAACAAATGAACAAAAAAATCACACTTTCACATTTATAATATTATATTAGTATGAATTGTCAAGAATGATAGATAAACTTTTAAAACCGGTTTACAATCGGCTTTTTGAGATTGGAACTATACCGGTTACTACTATAACGGTTCTGAGTGACCAAAAAGGATAGAAGCACAGGAAAATGCAAGTTCATGCTGCCAGATGTCGTTCAACCCTAACCCTTAAAACGATTTAACTCTATAGGTTGGGTAAAATCTGTAAAATTAGACTGTTTAAAACCCCTATACAGATAACCTTTGTAGTTGATCATGACATTAAAAAATGGTAAAAACATTTCATAGACTAGGCAACACTCGAATATTATTGCGCAGTATTATTACTTGTATTGACATTTAGCTTTCGTATTCTTTTACAAAAGAATACACCATAAAATTGTATAGTTACTTATGAAAAGTGATGTTCTTATCCTTATCTTTTTTTCCAAGAGTAATTTTTAAATGATTTCACAGCACAAACAGTCATTTTGCGAAATTATAAACACCGGTGCGTGACGTACGTTCACAGCGAACGTCGCTGGCGTAATGGCGGAACGATCGAACGAATACGCCAATATTGGCGCCTTTGAAATGGAAGCGTTTTAGGCGCGCGTACACGGTATC